TATCTAGAAAGTCATCTTTTGTTACAAAAAAAAGGGGGGGGGAAGGGGAACAGTTCAGCAAAAGTAACTCATCAACCGAGTCTGAGAAAATATGCACTTTTGCACGTTCATAGTTCCACACACACACAAAGAAGGAAGAGAATGTACTTTTTTTTCCTACAATTTTAGAATTGAAATAGGTCCCTGATATCTTTTCATCTACTTCCTTCATTTTCCAGTAAGGAAAACTGAAGCCTGGCACATAAAGTGACTCAATGAAAGAAATGAAGCTGGTAGCAAAGGCAGGGCTAGAACCCAGGTACCCTGACTTTTCAGTTTAGAGTTCTTGACATGACACTATGCTTTGAGAACTGAAAATTGGGATTTATATTTTGATGATCTTAATTCAACTTAACATTCTTATTAGTGCCCTTTGATCATCATTAGAAACCATGATTATAATTTATTAATAAGGAGCTGAAAGAGATAGTCACTTTAAGATTTATTAACAGCAGGAGAGGCATGGTGGTATAATAGAGGGTTACTTCCAGATTTACAATTGGGTAAACTTGAACCTGTGTCCAAGTCCTGTCTTTGCATGTACTAGCTACGTAACCATGGCCAAGTCATGTGACCTTAGTGTCCACTTAGTTTTCTATACATAAGACTTTGATTTAAAGTATTTATTAACACTTACTGTGTGCCACGCACTACTCTAAGGGCCAGAAAAGAAACATAAGCAAAAAGAAAGACAATCCCTGCCCTCAAAGACCTTACATTCTAATGGAAGTAAATCATACATTTTATGTGAACTGAAATGGGGCAGGGTTAGGGGAGAGGCAAGGTTGAAAAGTCTGGAGTGTTAGGAACTGAGCTAGGTTAGAAGAAGATATAACTGCCATGGGTGATTCCAGAAATGGAGGTTCCAGTAAGAAATTCATTAGAGGCTAGAAACAGAGGCATCTCTAGCATTAGGAGGCAACTGAGGCAGAGCTGAATCAGGTTAAAAGGCTACAAAATTTACAGATAGATTTCTTAGATCAGTTGGCATGTTTCTCACACTGATGAAACTGCAGGCCCAGACCAACATTTTAAAAAACATTATCATGAATCCATTGAAAACTTATAAGATCTATTCTGGGTCAGGCCAACTGAGGCTAATCCAATAATTCAGGTATCACAAAAATGCAATGAAAACAACTTGCTTAAAATAAGAATAAAAAAGACAGCATTCAGACAAAATGCTATTTCCCCTCTACCTCTTTTTTCACCACTACAACTGCCTTGCCAAGTCAGAAAGGTCTCCTTGCAGGACAGTACGAATTCAGCTAAACCTCCAATGTTCACTGAACATTTATTAAGCACCTGTTACATGCCTAAGGACTGGTGATACAAAGAAAGGAAGAAGATATTACCTGCTCTCTAGCAGCACAGTCTTAATGAGAGAAACAAAAGGCAAATAACTATGTACAAACTAGCTTATGTGTGGAATAAATTGGAAATAATCAACAGAAGTAAAGCACTTAGAATGAAGAGGAATTAGGAAAGGCTTCCTTAGAAGGTGGAACTTTTGTTGGGACTTGGAGGAAATCAGGGAAGCAGGAATGAGAGCATTCTAGGTAGGGGACAGCCAGTGAAAATGCCTGGAATCCAGAGATGGAGTAGTGTTCTAACTGCTCCACTGACCAGTCACTTCTCATCTCCCTCTCCCTCTCCTAGACCTCCCTATTCCCTGAAACACAATATTGAAATTAGGCCAGTTAATAACCTTACATGGCCTCTAAATGTTCACGTGAAAGGAAGAGTCAATTGAGAGAAACTTCATTGTTGAACCACCACCCTGGTCAGCAAGCCATCAGCACTGAGGAAAGACCTTCCTCCATCAGGAAAAAGACTATGGCTTGCTGAAAATTCAGATAATGGTTGGCATTTTGTAGCAATAAAGTATTTTAAATTAACATTATGCATATTTTTTAGACATACTACTTACTGTACACTTAATAGTGACAGTATAGTGTAAATATAACTTTTCTCATTGCGAAACCAAAAATTTGTCTGACTCACTCTATTGTGATATTCACTTACTGAGGTGATCTGGAAGCAAACCTATAGTATCTCTGAGGCATTCGTGGCATGGTCAACTATGGGGGCAATCATTAACTTAGATGTCTTTCTGATCTATGCTTAGTAATTTTTTAATTCAGCTGTACTGATTCCAACCCACATAATCCTTCCTGATCCTTGCGTCATTGACTATTACAATTAAGTGGATCTCTACAGATCACTTCCTTTTACCAATAAGACGACTGAAGGCCAGAAGCAAAGTTACTTGTTCAAGGTCATATTGATAAGAGGCACAAATGGAACTTAAAATCCAATCCCTTCACTCCTAAGTCTAGTGTTCTTTTCATTAAACCATGTTATCTCTTCCAAGTTTCCCCCATGCAGACTGGACAATTAAGCCCATATTTAGGAGCTAGAGTTCTGAGCTGTAGCAATAAGCAAAAGGGCCGCTAATGAGGCCTAGCTAACCAAGGGAAGAGATTGCCTTTTAAACCAGAATCTTACTTATCTCACATCCAGAAAGGTCTAAGCCATGAAAAACCCACCATAGCTGTTTGGGCTTACTTTTCTACTCAGATCCATTAGTAATTTAATTTACTATTTCTACATGTGCTTCTTTTTATACAGTCTACATGCTAGGAAGAAAGGTCTTTTAAACCATGTTTAACTACTGCTCCTGGCCTCCTGGGAGACATGAGCCACAATGGGGAAAGAAAGTACAGAGAAAACAAACAAAAACAACAATGTGAGTTGGTGTTTTGAACCAGTGCCCAAAAAAGTGTCGTTTCAATCAAACAATAAGCATTTACTAAGAGCCTAATATGTGCCAGCCATTGTGTGATGTACTGAGGTGGAGGGAATACAGATGCAAAAGGCAGAGAGGCCTTACCTTGTGAAGGAGCTTCCATTCTATTGAGGAGGTACTCCATATGCACAGATCAGTATATGCAAGCTATGCAGAAAATAGTGATTTTGTTGGGGGCAGCATTACCTACTGGCAATCATAGGATCATAAAACTAGAGCTAGAAGGGATCTCAGAGGTGATCTAGTAAACCCTAATTTAATAGATGGGGAAACTGAGGCCCAAGAAAGTTAAGTGACTTGCCCAAGGTCAAACAGGTAATATGCATCAGACGTGAACCCAGGTTCTGACTCCAGAGCCAGGAGAAAAGGTCACTTTAAGGTGACATACAGGAACTGATTCTTGCAGGGAAATAGGACTTCCAAAGGGAAGGGCTGAGGAAGAATTCCAGGTATGAGAGACTGCCTGTACAAAGGCACTGAGGTGAGAGATGGAATGCTGCACCCCTAAAACAGCAGACCAGCATGGTTGGAGCACAAACTGAATGAGGGAAGGTCATTAGCTCAGCAAGAGGCAGGAAAGCTTTAAAAAGGCCAAACTAAAGAGTTTTTATTTTATACTGGAGGCAAAAGTGAGCCATTAAAGTTTTGTGAGCAAGAATGTGACACAGAATATCAATGGAGGATGTATTGGAGATGAGAGAGAATGGATGTAGGAAGACCAATGAGGAGGCTTTTGAAATAATTTGTGTGAGAAGTAATGAGGGTCTGAACTACAGTGGTCATGCTGCAAATAATCAGAAAAGAATGTATACAAGAGATATTTCAGAGGTAGAATTGACAAGTCTTGGCCATTGATTGGATAAGGGAGTAAATGTGAATTAAGAATTCAGGATGATTCCCCAGTTGTGAACCTGGATGACTGGTGGTACTCTTGGCAGAAACTGAGAAGTCAGAAGGAAGAGGAAAGCATAATGAGTTTAGTACTCAGCATGTTGTGTTTGAGATATCTATGGGACATCGAGGTAGAGACATCTAGAAGACAACTGGAAATGCAGGATCTAGGCCAGAAGAGATGAGAGCTACATACGTGATGTAAACTTGCCATTGAGATAGAAAAGTGAGTCAGTTCTTCCTGAATTAACTTCTCATAGTGTGACTTCATTTTATTATCTGAAGTGCTGTGGATTCTCAAATCAGACACATCTACAGTCAAATGTAAGTATTAAAGAGTCAAATTTCATTCTGGAATACTTTCAATGTTGCCTCCCATCAACTCTTTTTTTGAAGGAATGTATAGGTGGATCTGGACCACCAGTGATTTCTTCATTGTGTAGAGACCCTGATGTGGCAGTGCCCTCCATTGATGTACGTGTAGATTCTAATACATGCAGCGGTCAAATAATAACAAAAAAAAAATAGGAAAATATACTTGGTAGCTGTTGTGTTGTTCCTGAACTAGTTTGCCACATAAGTTGCTTGGCATGGACCATGCTATGACAATGACTCAGCTCTTTTTTTTGTTGTTACTGACAAGTGGCAAAATTTCCCTACTACCTGTAGTGTGTATACACGCACTCTTGTCTCTCTCTCTGAAGCAGGACTTGAATTTTCCAAATTATTCTTGGGATTATTACAGTATTATAATAGATGAAATATTGGTAAATTCTTAACTCATAAAAATTATGTATATATTTGGCCACTCCCCCCCCCATCTCATCCTGCAACTTTCTGTATAAATGGTTAGCAAAGAGAGGAGAAGCAATGGTTAAGGGCCTCCAATCACTAATACACAAATCTTTTCTGCTGGTGCATCCTCATCCCATTATCTTTTCTACTTTCAAATTCTAAAGCTTTAAATTGAAAGGCAGGGATGAAAAGATGCCAGGCAGTCTGAGTAAGGCTGGCTTTGTTTCTTTCAGACTATGCTATACACTGTACTTGTTCTATTCAGTTACCAATTTGGAGAATTTTATACTTAACTGAATGGCTAATCATCAGGCAAAATAGTAATAAGTTTTTGAAATAAAATCATATTTGGAATGAAATGACATATTATTGTTACAACATTGTTATATAAACCCTTCTTCCTTTAAATACATGCAACAAATGAAATTATACAATTCAAATTCCAAAAATATAAATACACATATAGTTTAAATTAAATTAATTTATTTTTTGAATATCCCTCTTAGTCCTGCATGCATTGGTTAGCACAAAGTTGAACTTTATCACAATCTTCTTTGTAAAAGTTAAAGTATGTACTCTGATCACTGCTTGGGATAGTTTCTTCACTGGATAGCCCCATGACTGCCAAACCATGGTAACACTGTTAAGTCAGCAATTTATACAAAGTTCAATAGAAAAAATTTGCTGAATATCCTCTGTTTAATGTAAACAAGGCAGGAGGCAAACAAAGAGTTTATAGTAACACTATTTTACAGGGCCTGAAATGATTATCAGTTGTGTTAAAGCACTGGATTATTACCTTGGCATAAATATCTGGATTTATCATACAACCCAAAATACAAACACCATGTAATTTGTGAGTTAGCATTTTACAGTTTCTTTCAATGCCTATGAACTTCATAATTAAATGGTAATTTTTTAATTTGTACAATAATTTATGGAAATAACTTTCCAATTTATGAAGTAATTTTATAATTTGTGCCCTGTAAAATTAGGTGTAACAATTTTTACACTAGCAACAGTGTAAGCAAGCTAAGGATTTTGGTCCTTATATATATACATAAAGTAATGTACAACCAGACTGAAAAGCTGTGTATTAACTCACAGCTCCCATATTGCACAGACAGATATATTATGAGAACTATACATAGTCACAATGTGAGCATTACAATGGTAATAGGCTAAGACTGATGCTCACTATGAAAATTTCAATAGGGTTTAAAAACAGTACTATACTGGTGGAAAAAAAATTTTTTTAAATTGCACCCCATATTTACACAAATAGGCAGCAAAGCTAAAATTCAATTTGGGATCTGCTTAAGGTAATTATCTCAGCAGTGTTTTTTAGTCCAACACTAGCTATTAACAACCTTTTATTTAAACACTCACTGATAGGTAATAAAGAGCCCTAAACACAAAACAACAATAAAAACTAGCTATTTAGTGCAACTTTCCACTGACAAATCCAGATCTAAAATTAAGTGATTTTTCATATCTTCCTAAACATGAAAAGTGCATGTGAAAATTAGAAAAAAATTAAAAATAAAAGCAAAGCATATCTTAATTGTTAACTTATTTGGAAGAATCACTGTATTAATATAACTATGGTTTCATAAGCAGCACCCATTACAAAAACAAGTCCTAAAGCTATTAGCTTGATTTCATGGATGAGCTTGAACACCCATTTCTGAGAGTGGGAAATGAATAGCATTTGGCTTGAGAGGTAACAGCATCACAGTGACATCTTAAGCATTAAACAATTATATACCAAACATAAGAAAATATTAAAAAGCAAAATTTACCTTAATGCATTAAATTTTAAATAATCCAAATTAAGTAAACAACTTCTACAATAGAGTAAGAATGCAGTATTCTTTGCATGAACTGACTGATAACAATAGCAGACTGAATGAGACTCCATTGTAAAAATCTTTTAAAGAAAACAACACATGATGTTAATACCTGCAGTTTAGGAACTTGATTTTTTTTTTGTTATTTTACTTTGCAAATTTGGAATGTCATTACAAATTGGGACTAAATTACTTAGAACATATATTCTCTTAAAAAGGTGGTAAATTTACTACTGTTAAGAATATTCATAACTGTTTAATATTCTGTTCTTATGTAATAATGAAAAGAAGCTTTATGAAACATAAAAGAACAGAAAAAATGGAATAAAAGCAAAAGACCTAAACATGCAAAGATTTATAATTTGGTCCTACAAATAGGCAGTGCAGTCTTCATATATGCAAATATGTGCTAAGTAAATATACCTTCTCAAAGAGGCAGTGATAGATTCCTTTTAAATGACTATAAAGTTAACTTCTTTCCCCCAAATATCTTTAAGTGGACTGGTAATGAAAAAAAAAGAAAGTGCAGCTGCTTAACTTTTAAAATGTTAACAACAAAAAAAACTCCTAAACAGACAAACTTAGAAGAACTGATCTGAGTACTAAAAAATCAATTAAATTAAAAGGCTAGGTGGCAGCAACAAACACTGCTTTGTCCATGAAGCGCTTACAACCCGTGCCATTTGGATAAGCTACTGAAGAATCCAAGAGATTCAGCATGTTCTTTCTACACACAGACATACACACAACAATTTACCAAAATCCTTTTAAATAGAATCAGGACATTGAAAGACTATGATTTTTTTATCTTTTAGAATCCTATACAAGAAAGACTTCAATAAAGAAAAATGTAAACACTGAGGATGTTGGCATTCTGATTGCTGCTTACTAAAGTGGTATCAGTCAGTTCCTTGCTGGGAAACTACCATGAAATTCAACAGGATAATAAAAATCACAAAATACATTGCCAAGGCACAAAATGTTCTTAACCCAATTTGTGTTAAATAAGCTTCTTAAAAAAATACTGTTTTAGCAAACAGTGGCAAATATGATAGTTTAAATAAATTGGGACCAACATATGAAATAAATTCTTAACACTGCTAAGTGAGATTAAAATAATATTTTGAAAAATGTGTAATTGATTAAATATCAAGTACATGAATCAAGAATTTCTTCACTGTACTAAATTATTCTTTTTCTTATAAAAGATTGAAGCTAATTTGTTTTAAAAATTCTTATCTTCTGTTATCACATTCTGCTTTTCCCTACCTTTTTTCTGTATTCAATGAAGTTTTCTTTTTATAGCATTTTCTGATTTCCACTTTCCTTTCATGTTTTGTTTGCTAAGAATTCTGACATCAAAAAGTTACAAAAACCAGTGATTTTCTTCGCTACATATCAATCCAAAAGAACATATGCACTGAGCTTCAGAGTGTCAAAAAGCCTCACTACCTAAAATGATATTAAAATAAGACAAGATCATCAAAGTTATGACATCAGAAATTTTTACAGCTTTTGAAACAGTCTTTAGAAATGTTTGTTTCCTGAAGTTTCTTTGATTGCATCCTGGGTTCAATGACGTGCAATTATATACAGAGCCATTACAATAAAGACAATGTCCAAAACTGTACACCTGTTATCAAGAATGTCCATTCCGTTATGTCCTCCATGGTTCTGGCCAGTTTAAGGCTTCATCCTTTCTTGCCTGGGTGACATGGAGGCTACCATTAAGATGTTCCTCATGGTGTTGATGAAGTGTGATACTTCACAAATGCAATTGCTGCCAGTTCCTTACAGAACTCTTCTAGCACAATCACACCCTCTAGTAATGTCATGTGGTCAATCCTGGAAAAGAGAAAAGAGCTAGGGTCATTAAAAGTGAATCAGTAAAACAGCAATATGTTTATAAGCTTTTTTATGACAACACACGTAATTATGGCTTACATTGGGCCTTCAGGTTCCAAACCAAGTAGTCGTTTTCTGACCAGCAGAAGTTTGGGAGTGAAATCTGGAATCCGCTGGATTCGGACCATAAGGTCTCCAACAACCTGTAACACACAGGAACAAAAGACACCACGTCTCTCAAATCTTATGCATGGGAACCTCCAGGAAAATAAGAGCAGTTCGTAGTAGTATAGTATGAGGAATAATGCTAAGGTAGGTTTCAGGAAAATTTCATTTTAATTTAGGCTTTGATCCTTAAAAGCTTAATTCTTTCTGGACATCTGCTGACTTATATGGAAAAGAGGATAATAATATATCCTCAATCTATCTAAAAGAGAATTATACTGCAGGTGTTCTGTAAAATTTAAAGCAATGTACAATGAGAGTTGCTATTATTATAAAGCTTCTATATAACCCACTTTACTTAAGATATGAGAGGAAATGTCAGTTTTTACTATAAATGTGCCTGTTTTTGACAATGTATTCACATGTACCCAATTAATGTAAAAACTTAACACAAAGGCTTTTAAAGGTTTATTTTTCAATATTCACATGAGCACAGACACAGAGTTGGAAGTGACCTTAGGAGGCACTGAATCCAACCCCTTCACTTTACAGATAAGAAACTGAAGTTCAGAGGTTGTGACCTGCCTAAAGTCACAGACATCATAAGTAGCAGTCAAGATTCAAATCTAGGACTTCTGACTCCAGCATTTAGTACCACATTACAGTTTTTTTATCTACAGCTAAAGCAGAATTTCACATACTCACGGACTGAGATCAGTATGAAACAACGGAACATGGAAAGAACATAGGACTTTAAATAAAAGGACCTGAATCCAACTCATACTTCTGTCACTCTCTGGGTGACCTTGGGTAAGTCAATTAACCTCTTTAGCCTTTGTTTCTTCATTTGTAAAATGATGGGGCTGGACTAGGTAAGTTCCAAGGTCCCTTCCAGCTCTAGAGCTATGATCTCATGATTGTTAGAGCTGGAAGGGACCTCAGAGCTCATCTAATCCAACATCTTAATTTTAGAGATAAAGAAACTAAGTCAAAAGGAGGGAAGTAAATTGCACATACATAGCCATTTAATAACTAGGACTCAAACAGGACTCCAAGTCCAGTGTCCAGTGTATATTATAGCATAACACCCGTATATATTCACCTTCTTTTCGTAGTAGGCATATGTCTAATAAAATTGTTTTATATTAAGCTATTTCCTTACGTACAACCTAAGTCATAGAATATCAGGGTTGGAAGAGATTTTGGAGTAGTGAATGTAAACTTGTTTCAAGGAACACATATAAAATATTTCCTCTTGCATGTACTTTATTAAATCTGGCATATAATGCTATATTTCCTTAATAATTTTAACAATATGCTAGCACTTCTATGCACTTTTATAGACCCTATGTAACACACAATATTAATCACTCACCCTGACAATAACAGAAAAAAGTGATCTACAGCCAGAAGCCAGATTCACATATGGATCCAAAAGGTACTCATGTATATGAGGATGAGGGAAAAGAGAAAGTCTGGATAACACTGATGTTACTTGTAAATTTACATCATATGGCTGTGGAAAGGAAAAAACAGAAAGAGAAACATCTTAAGTGATTTTTCTTATATTTAATACCATTCTACTTAATTTACTGCTCAACCTAAATTCATCAGAAAATACAATCTACTATTTTGCTTTCCCATTATGATATTCTGCAACCAAAGGAAAGGAAATCTATCACCATTAGCCCGAATGAGCTTAGCCAAAAAAACTCTAACCCAAAAAACCTTAGGTTTTTTTCATACATCACATAGATACAGACACAAAAACATAACTAAGATACTTTATTTGTATTTTTCACTGTCTAATGTATAAATTGCAGCTCTGACACTAATTTTTGACTTAGGGAAAAATCACTTTACTTCAATGGGTCTTCATTTCCTTCTCCTTAAAATGAAGGGGTACTGCTTCTCAGCATTTTGGCTAAGATCGTTTATGGGGTTTGGACTATAGAAGTCAAATCTCTTCTAGTTCCTAAAATGTTCTGTAGGATCTATATCTCAGTAAGCCATTTTCCCAACAGATAAGCAATCAAAGAATATGAACAGTTTTCAAGAGAAGTAAATGATTAACATCTATATAAATACATATAAAAATGTTATATTGTCTCTCCTCTGTCTCCACAGGAGGACAGTGTGGGCAGAAAGGAGCCATGAATATAGCAGGGATGGTAGGTGAAAGGGAAGGAAGAATGATTTATGATCATTTTTATGCAATCTTCAAAAATACTAAAGATAGGCTCAGATTCTTAGAATCTAGCCAATAGCTCACTAATATTAAGATTCCTTAAGAGTCTGCCCAATATGACAGATGTTCTAATAAACCTTGTCTTTGGCTGAAAAAAAATACTAAAGATATTTCATGAGTAACTCAACCAAATAGCTTAAAAAAACAACAACAAAACATCTAGCCATGCCAGGTGCAAATCTGGTAAACACAGGTAGTTTATAATAACAGCTATGTTTAATCAAGTGCTAAAAGAAACAAAACTAATACTCATTTGAGTAAGTGGAAGATTTCAGTTCCATGGTCTCAATCAAATCTAGTTTTATCACTGAATTAATCTTTTCAAAAGGGTTATCTATGAGCCACCCCCAATCTGACAATTCTACCTGTTTTTGCCAGAACAGAAGAGAAACATATTCCTATCCTCATCTGTACTTTCCTTCTCTGATAACATGACATAGTTTTCCCTAACAAGACACAACTAAGATAACAATAGCAACAGCTGGCCTATAAACTTTCATTTTTCTTTCATTTCAAGTTCAAATGAAATGTTAGAAAAAATAAGTAAGAATTCCACTTAAGGGTTATGCTATTGGTATCAAAGAATATGAAAAGGATAACTCAAACTATGAAGAATTATATCATAATTTTTGTATAAGATGGTCTTCAATTTTTAAGCTTACTTTAGTTCTTCCATTCATTACTTAAGGAAAATATAATTAGAATGATAAACTGAAAATAGTATGGGTAAAAGTCCAAACACTACTTATTTTAGACCACTAGAATCATTTGAGCACTAACTATATGATTTTACATTAATGATGGATTAGAATTAAATTAAAACCCTTATCTAAGAACCACAATTATTTTACCTTCGGATACTCTGTCTTTAATATCCTTTTTTAAAGGTACTACAGAGATCACACAAAGAAACCTAGAGAAAAAATTCTAAATTGAATTTGAATTGCATCTAATTTGAATCCTGAAATTCTTGCTTCCCAACATTTAGATTCTTAATTAGCATATTTCTCAGAGTATTTAATGATCAATTCATCAGCTAATAAACATGTATTAAATGCCTGCTATGTGGAAGACACTGAGCTAAGCACTGGAATGATGACAAATAACAGGTTGTTTACATATCCTAACTTATATCCTAAGTAGGTAGCCAAGTAAAGCTAGTAAGTGAGAATAAGTGCAGCATTTATTGAATCTTCAGTGATCAGATACTGCGCCTGACCAACTAGCTCTGGGTATGTAGGAGAAATTTTCAATAAGACAAATAAAGTAGTAAGATTAAAGAGTAGTATAACTATTATATATACTAGACTCCAAAATATTACCTAAACCTACAAAAACTTAATCTCTAAAAGTTTATACTACTCAAATATTAGAGAACCTTTTATAACAAACTTTTCAGAAGCTACCCACTATTAAGAGGCAACAGAAAACACAGAAAACCTACATCATGTTGTTTGTTTGTTTTTATAAAACATGGTCTGACCCAATTCATGACATTTCTTTATTTTCTTAATTTTATTTTCTTTACCTGATTTTCCTCAGTACTTAGTACTGTCCTCTCAAAGTTGAGGGACAGAATTTTTGTAATATTCCAGAATTTGTTTAAAAATCATTGGCACATTTTCTGGAAGATCTCAGAGGAAAACAATTTGAAAACATGTAAAATTTTATTCTATATTGGATAACTTAAAAGGGTTTTCTTCCCATTTTCTCCCAATTGCACAGTCAATACAAAGTCTTGTTTGAAAGCTAAGTACTCTGATGATTTGTTAGTGGGTGAGGGAGAGAATGAGATCTAAACCCAGATATAAAAAAAATGCCATAAAAAAATATAAAAACTATTCTTAGCTCATGGACTGTAAAACAGGGGACATATCAGTTTGCTGATGCCTGGTTTAGATCAGCAAGCTTGGTTTTCTAATATGGTAGATAAACTTACAGATAGCCTAAGTGCAGCAATGGCAAACACAAAATGTTAAAAGACCCGGAGGAAAGTTTCCCTCTCATTAGAGAGGAATGTAGACAAGAAGTACAAAGGATGAGAGGTGTGCATGGTTTGAGAACTGCCACAATAAAAGGAGTATATGCATCATGGACCCAAGAAAATAAATACCGAACTTTAGCAATTTTACAAGAAAAAAAAAGTTAATGAATATTAATTTGCATTTAATGGCACCTCTAACTCTCTAATGTTCTTTTTTAAATGTCCATATAAATCCAAGTTTAGCTTTCTAAGCTGATCATTGAGGGAAATTACTTAGGTCACCAAAGAAGCAGTCAGGTTACTAAACTGAGAAAGTTTCATAAGAGTATATCAAGTAAGACAATCAAAGAATATCTAATTGTTATGTTGAAGATAAATTAGAACAAGTACAATTTACAGAGAATAGTAATTCTAAAAAAACACAAAACTGTAAGTACTGGATTTCCAATTACCTGATCAAGAATCCTTCCCATTCTGTCAAACAAAACTTTCAAGAAATGACCCTCAAAGAAAGCTGCTTCTAAATTGCACTTTTCCAATGCTTTTGGAGACCCAGGCCACTCCCATCTTAAGCAGATAGAACAGTAGTCCCGGAACTAGGGAAAAGGCATTTTGATAGTTAAATTGGGCTAACAAATTTTAAACAAAAAAGGTTTTCAGAAATACATTGCTGTATATGTATTTAACAAAACAGGTGCTATGCTGGATACACACTACAGTGGAACACAGTGAAAACACTAAAGAATACTGGATTGGAACTCAAAAACCTTGGGTTTGAATCCAGACTACCAGAGATTGTTACCTCAGGCAAGTGTCCTTAATCCCTTAGGGCTTTGGTTTCCATTATCTGTAAAATGAGGGGTTTAGAGTAGATGAATCTCTAGAGTGCCTACCAGTTTTACCATCTGTTAGTCTCTGATCTTCACTGGGCCTTTCTCCCCACATGGCTTATAGAGGCCCAAAGGAGGAACATTTAACTGAAATTGCTCTGAGGTGACAAGGTGGCAGAGTGCATAAAGTACAATGACAAAGCACCACCGTCACAAAAAGCTTTGTTACTTCTTTCCTTCAATATTTGCAACTGGATTTTAAAAGTAGGATAAGTCCTGACAAAAACACCACATTTATTATCAAATGGCATGAAAATTAGTAGATAGATATTTATCAGCAAAAAAGCAATGGTGTAGTATGTGTCTATAGTTGGGCCTATAATTGCTATTTCAAGAAAGGAGGTACTCTCAAATTTACATGAGAATTTTTCTCTCATCTCCGATTCAAAAATTTGAAGAATCAACAATAAAAAGAACATTATCTTCTTAAATAGGCAACTTCCAAAATCTAAACAAAAGAATATTCCCTATAATGTGTCTCCTTAAACTTTCCTTAGTCTAAACAAAAGACATTTGTGACAAAATGTAAAACTCCTTTTAGTATTAACTGTAGTCTTTTTTTTTTTTTGGTGAGGAATTGGGATTAAGTGACTTGCCCAGAGTCATACAGCTAGTGAGTGTTACGTGTCTGAGGCCAAATTTGAACTCAGGTCCTCCTGACTCCAGGGCCGGTGCTCTATCCACTCTGCCACCTAGTTGCCCCCAACAGCAGTCATTAAAAAACAAGACAAGTCATTTTAAAACTGACAATTAAAATGCTTAAAATGCTAAGTCCCTCAAATTACTATGAATTTCAAAGCACACAAAATACCTGTATAGATTCAAAGTGCTCCTTAAAATAAAAAAACAACTTACAGAGCCTGAGGAATATTCATCACTATATCATGTCAATATAATAAAAATGACAACAATGCCCAAATTAATTTATCATTTTAATGTTATACCAATGAAATTACCAAAGAGATACCTTATAGAATACAATAAAATAATAACAAAACATTCTGAAAAATAAAGACCTAGAACGTAAAGGCAAATAATGAAAAGAGGCAGTGATGAAAAGATAACTACACTTCTGGACTTCAGACTATACAAGGGAGAATCAGAAACAATGGAATTCAAGTTAACTATTAATTTCAAATGATTTTGGCCCTTAGGCTTTAATATTTTATTTGTGTAACTCAGATAAAAGCACTTTTACACTAAATTCTTTGAAATTCTGATACAGAAGTAGTTTTGAAAATTACTTTGATATTTACCAATCATCCAGAGTCCTCTTTAATATCTATATTATATTGTTTCATTAGAGTTTATAAATTTATAGACCTTTTATTCCAAACATAAATAATGTGGTGTTAAGCCAATTTGAAAGAATTGGTTTAAATATATTATTTTAAATCATAAATCATCTACAAGTACATTTAGGTAATTCACAATTTGGGAGACTGAAAGATTACATTTCAAGTATTCAGTTGTTTAAAAGAATGATTGCCTGAGAAAATACATTTGAATTTCAAACTGGGGATTCTAGGAACACCTTTCTTTCCACAGTTTGTTTAGCAGCTGGAAATGATTCTATGAGGAAAACCATTTGAAGTTATAACTTCAGATGCAAGAAAGACCCCTCAGGGGCAGCTAGGTGGTGCACCAACCCTAGAGTCAGGAGGACCTGAGTTCAAATTTGGCCTCAGACACTTAACACTCACTAGCTGTGTGACTCTGGCAAGTCACTTAACCCCAATTATCTAAAAACAAACAAACAAACAAAAAAAACAACCTCCCATCCTGCTCTCCGCTAGGGGAAAGAGTGATTAGACATGGCTAGTGGAGTCAAGTCCACCACAGGAAGGAAGAAAAGGAGGGAAACAATCTAGTACCAGGAAAGTAGAAAGGGGCATAGGTAAGTCAAATCTATATACACAAAGATATAGAAAATAAATTTTATATACCATTCTCGTTTCAGAGTCTGTACCCCCTTAATGAATTCATTTTTAAAAATATTAATGAAAACGTTAGTTGCTTTTACTTACCTGCCTATGAGCATCTCTGAGGTAGGTGTCATAACCTGTGCCCTCTACCTGGTAGGATGATTTTGCTTCATCGGGTACCAGACAGAGAAAACTTAAACAAACAAAAAAGTAAGATATACTAAGTACTACTGTTTCTACATTTAACAGTATCCTTAAAAGCAAATGCCTTTGCCTAGTGATGCCTTTTGAGCAGAAGTAAGTCACTTCAAGAGGAGACTTCTTTGAAAAATTATAAATGAATATATTACTTGACTTAACTTTATAGCAAATACATTACCAGCAAAATATTTTTCTGTAATTTCAAAAGTTACACTTAAAAGCGTTTTATCAAACAACTTGCCTCTGCTCATGAACAAGCAGACATGATATTTATTCATCAGTGGAAACAGATTTACAATTCCCAAGTAAATTTAAGACATTGTTGATCTTAAATAACAAGCAAATCTATAAAGAGATCAACCCTATCCTAATATGAGATCTCAAATTAGTGTTTAAGCAAAGGGAGAAGAGAAAGGCTTTTGGTCATTGGGAAGAAGAGGCAGATAAATGTCTATATTTTGTTGGCCTCATTCAGTAAAGTCTAAACAGAAAAAGAAAATGGATAGAAACATGTTTGTCCAAGAAAATTTATTTGAATCAAAAGGCAATGTGGAATTGTTTAATGTTTCCCGATAAACAAACTATTTAATTTAAAAATCTATAAGAACAACCGATATTTTAATCCTGGTAAAAACCACTGTTATTATTTTTTGCATATTTAGTTAGACCCCAATCAAACTTATCTCCTCTTGGGCTTGACTACTTTCCTCAGCTTTAATTTTTAAGACTGGCAAATAGTTGTCAGTTTCCTTATATTGTATTAAATAAGTAAAAGCTGTGAAAGAGAAGATTTCCACCAGTTTCACAATTTAGAAAAATTCAAATGAAAATTTGTATGTATGTAAATAATATTCATACAAATTATGCATACAAAATGAAAACAAAGACAAAGACATTTACACAGAAACTTACCTATTTACAATTTTATGGACTTCAGTTTTTCCATCATTTTTGGGATGTTCTGGAGTAGTAGGTGGTGAAGAACTAAGCCACTCTTGATTTGACAAAGTGTTTTCTGGTGAAAGATCAGTAAATAATGGATCTTCTTCCAAATCCCTAAGTTAAATTTTAGAAATAAGGAAAAAAATTTGTTACAACATTTCTAAAGTGGGATATGAACTTTAAGAATACAAAGAAGATGCTGGAGAACAAAGATCTGGATTTCTTAATAAAGACCTCACATATGAAAACTATAGACTTTTAGCCAGATGAAGTACATCTAACAAGTAGTAAAATATATTTGTTTAAGGACTTATACATACACAAATTAGTTTTACACAGGAAAACAGAGAGGAAGGCGCAAAAAAAACCCCCACCACCTCAAAAACCCAACCTATCCACACATCCACTAAGTCAAATATCACAGGGAATAGGTAATATAAGAGAAAAGAAAATAAAGCTAAAGGCCCAGTAATTAATTCGCAGAAGATCACATCCAAAAAAGAAAGCCAACACTATAATACTTGAAGGTCTCAAGTTAGAGCAAAGAGTAGATAATAAATGAATTATAGATTTTAACTTGAGAATAGGATGTGATTATAACATAGCAAAAGACAGGTACATTTAATCCAAAAGGAAAAGACAAAAAGGGCAATGGAGTAGCACTGTATACCAAGAAGATTTATTCATGCAAGAACCACAAGCCAGATTGGGGAGGCATAAAAGAGAACATTTGTGTTAGGACTAACAAAAGTATAAATTAATACTGCAGTAAGCATGCACCTGCCAGAAAGAAATGGACAGAGTTTCAGAAACAGATCACAAATCTGCCACATAAGCATGACAGAGTAATGATGAGAGAAATCTGGTATTTGGACATCTGCTAGAGCACTGCCTAATGCTAAAAGCAGTTGCAAGACTACAATTCTAGAGCAGAAGCTGCATTAAAAAAGATAAGTTGATCTGAAGAACAAAATTTCCTTGATAAACACAAATGTTTCAAGTAAGGAAGAAAAAAGACTGATGTTGACACACTGGTCAACAATGATTTTAGAAAGACATGTACAGAAAGATGAAATCAAGTGCAGACAGCTGAAGAAAACATTTAACGAAGTCTCTAATAAAATGTTTGTAGAAAAGATAATGAATGTGGGCTGGAAGATAGTAAAGTTAGATAGATTCAGAACTAGTTTAATGACTAAAACCAAAGAACAATGACAGTCTGGATTGAAATTTCTAGTGAATTGACCTTGGCATCTGCCTTTGACTGAGATCTGTTTTGTTCACTATTTCTATCATTTACTTACTGAAGGCATAAACAAATTTATAGATGGCATAGAATCATGGATTTAGATGTAAGGTCAGAACAATTTGGTACATGAAAGGGGAAGAAAAAGAACTTTTGTTTACTTAAAAAAACACCCTAAAATCCATATTTAAATACAGTTTTTCTGGTAGTATGTGAGTAGTTTGCCAAAAAGGAAGAAAATAAATTTTTATACAATGATAAGGCTAAAAATACCTTGTAAAGGATGTACAGTGACTCTTCTTTCATAGGTGAAGAGTTTGGTGGCTTGAAAGGAAAAAAAACTTTTATTTACTAAAAACTTACATAATGCATGTGGAAGGAAAGTTCAGAGTCAGAGACTGTTAAGAGGACTAGATTGTGGACAGTGGAATGGCTGGGGCTGCAGAGTATTATGGTGCTAGAGCTCTTATATAGGCAACTGTTTTAGGCTTAAAAGGTTAAAACAAACCAAAATGATAAATCAAATGGCTGTTTGGAGATTATGCAAGACTTAGATAAGGAGGGGTGATTTAGTAATTAACAGAAAATAGGAATTTGAGACCGTTTACCCAGAAAGAGAAAAGCAAGTTCTGCACCTGAGATCTGAGCCATAGAAGGGAGTGACCATACAGTTTGAGGTGAAGAAAGGGCAAGAGAGGGAGGAGAAAGCAGGGTATGGTGAGGTCAACTCTGAGCTGCCAGAAGAAGCCAGTAACAGAAGAGTGGGTTAGTTGCTTATTCCTGGAGAATCAGCTAGAGAAAGGCTGATTCCATTAGGATACCACTATTGCCCATTAGTGCAATGTACAGCTAGTGTACAGTTGTGAAGCCTCTCAGAAGTTTCTATTGCTCTCTGTTGCCCTCTCTGGTTTGAAAGGGAAAAGCAGGCAGGGGAAGGTTTTGAAGCTGATTTGCTGTTTGATTGTGTTGGTTAACACCAGATTGATTATGCATTGCTGAGAAAGCCAGCAGGATAACTTCTGCAGACCTTAGGCTGCAGGGAATTAGTAGACAAAATAGCCAAACACGTTTTCAGCACCTTTTTAAGAGTGACTGTGAGTTAAAAGAGCTTGTGAATGCTTCATCAGTTGAGAGTAAAAGAATTAAATTAGGCCAAAAGGGGAGCAGTTAGAAACAGGAAATTATTAAGTAGAAAAATGGTTTCCCATGATATAGATGTTCCTGAATGGATCAATGATATCAAAGCATGCAGTTCAGAGCTGTGAATAACCCCAAGCACATAGTTTTGCTCATTCACGAGTTTCTGCGAGTGTGTTGGTGGAAGACTGTGAACCAGGTTTATGCAATAGATTGTCTATTCCTGTATTTGCTTATGGGTCCTTGCAATGCTATAATTATGGTTGCTTTTGCCATATTGTTAAACAAATGATTATGTATAAGATGTAATATTATCATGATTTTGGGTGACTGGGTTTGTTTTAGCGGAAGCAAACTGGTGGAGGCTCTACAGTTGTGGTAAGTAGGGGGAGTGTAACAGGGTTACCTCTCACAACCAAAAAAAGTTTAAGCATGGTCACATGGTGGTGGCCCTTCTCTGGGAATTCAGACCTGCCATTGTAAGGGGGAACTAAGTTGATATAGCCAGAGCAGGGGAGAGCGAGTGGCCCACACTCCATGAAAAGGGATTGCAGGTGGAAGTCCATGTCAGGGATGCCCCACACACAGATTATATAGATCTAAAAGGAATTTTAGAGGGCATCTATTCTAATACTCTGATTTTACAGGTAAGGAAACAGAGACATTCAATGACTTACCCATGTAGTAAGTAACAGAGCCAGGATTCAACTTCAAATCCTATGACTATAAACTTACTGCTCTTTCTAGTGTACCAAGCTGCCTCCCATGAAGACAGAAGAGATCTAAAGTAACTAAACAAGAAAATGGGGATCTGAAAATATCTTGATTCAGCAGGATTAAGGGACAAATCTAACGAGATATGGTTTAATAGGAGTAAATGAACAGGCCTACACTTGGGTTAAAAAAAACATCAATGACCTAAGTACAAGATGGAGGAGGCATGTCCATATAACAATTCAAGTGAAAAATACATGAAGATTTTAGTGGATTGTAAACAGTATGATTCAACATTGTTTCATGGAAGCCAAAGAAATTACTTTGATCTTCGGCTGCTTAAAGAGAAATAAAATGTAGAGTAGAAGGAACATTACAGTCCCACTGTATCCAGATGACATCTGGAATATTTTGTTCATATTTGAGTACCACATCAAGGAAAAAAAAATATTGCTATCTTTCATTTTCACATCACCTTAAAAAAAATATTTCCCACCCCCCCTCATGGCCCTTCACTACCCAGGGAGGCAAATTAGCATTATCATTTGTTTTATATCACCTTCTTTTTAAAAATCTCTCCCCTCCTTTTCACCACCCGGGAAGCCATCCCTTGCAACAAAGAATAAATGGGGGAGGGGGAGAAGAGAGCAACTTAGCAAAGCCTGAAAATACACATAATGTTCCACACCCAACTCTGCTAAAAACGGAAGGTTCTTTTTTTTTTTCTATTTCTACTTCAATATCAAACTTGATGATTACAATTTTGGGAAACCACATTCTAAGACATTGACAACATAGTCAAAAGTCTGGCAAACAGGGATGTCTTTCAAGAAGGCCACCTGAATAGGAGGCAAACTGCTCAGCTCCTATATACCTAGCATTCTAGTAAAACCCTGAAGTTTATACTAGATTGAATCATGATCAAGAATTCCAATGAAAAAGTACAATGATTTTCATCTACCTTTGAACTGCATAAAGTTAGCTAGTCTTGAGTCAAGCTCATTCCAGGACAGTACCCCAGCACAACTAGGGATACATTGTAGCCTGCAAAGCTCTGTGGCCAGAAGGAATAAGAGTAGAGGGCTCCTCTAAGAAAAACCCAACACGGTTTAAAAAAAAAAAAAGAACGTAGAGGGGAGAAGGAAGGGAAATCTTAGAAGCCCGATGGAACAGCAACAGGAAATAATTAGCAATGAACCACCGCAGTACTCAGACTGGGACAGACCAGGCTCAGGAGCTATGTGGTCTCTAATACCTTGCCCTGAGATACTAGAAAGGGTTCTGAAGATCCAGTGCTTTGAACCTCAAAGATAAGGGGTGATGGTCATGGAGCTAAGCATAAGAAGGTGAAAATCAGGGCGAGAACCTAGGGATTCCAAGTTGAGAACACGTAGGGCTGGCCCTGGGACAAAGCCCTAATTGACAAATTTAAGATGGAAAACTGAGTAACTGAAAGAAAACACCATCAAGTATAAAAAGTTATTTGAAATCTAATTCCATAACAACTGTAAGCAGAAGAAAAAACTAAATTTCCACAAAGACTATTCAAATACCTACCAAAAAAACGAAGGATCAAAAATGAAATACAACTTCTCAAGGAGAGAAACAGAACAAGAATAAGTAGTAAAATATCACCCAAGAAATGGAATCCCTGAGAACTAAAAAAGACCAAACAGAAATCAATGGCTCTGTGAGACAGCTAGAAATATCAAAATCAAAAGACTGCAAAAAATAGAAGAAAATTTAAGATGCCTGATATTAAAAACATCCAATTGGGAAAGAGAAATCATTTAAGAATTATTGGACTTTCTGAAAACTATGATAAAAAAAAAACCCTGGCTGATATAGTCTTTAAATTCATTCTTTAAAAAAGCCCAGAACTAATAAAATTAAAATGCAAAATAAAGATGAAAAGAATTCACCAATCCCCTCCTGAGAGGAATGCCAAAAGGAAAAATCTTAAGAATGTCATAGCCAAAATCCACAGCTCCCATGTCAGAGAAAAAATACTACAAACATTCAGAATGAAACAGCTGAAATATCAAGGGACCAGGATCACACAAGACTGGCAACTTTTACTAAAAGAACAGATCTTGGAATATAATATTCAAAAAGCAAAAAAATGGGTTTGCAACCATGAATAATTTACCCTGCAAAGCTGAATATAATTCTATAGGGGAAAAATGACCTTCAATAGAATAAAGTACTTTCAAGCATTCATGATGAAAAGACCAGAGCTAAGTAGGAACTTTGAAACAGAACTTCAAGAATTGAAAGAAACCAACAAAAGTATTAGCAACTGGAAGGAGTTGTATGAAGAAAGAGTGCTAACATTCCAACAGAGGAGAATAAGTGATGAGGCAGCTAGGTAGTAGAATGAACACAGCAGTGGGCTTGAGTCAGGAAGACCTGAGTTCAAATTCAGCTTTAGACACTCACTAGCTATGTGACTCTGGGCAAGTCACTTAACCTCTGTTTGCCTCAGTTCTCTCAGATGTAAAATGGGGGTAATAATAACACCTACCTGTCAGGGTCATTGTGAGGATCAAATGAGATAATATTTGTAAACTGCTTATTAGTGGCACATAGGAGTCATTATATAAATGCTTATTCTCCCCCTTCTTCCCTTCAGAACCTTACTGTATTTAAAAGGAAATGAGAGAGTTAAGAAAATCAGAGAATGTGTACTGGTTCTATTCTGAGGGTCTTTAAGAGGGGAAACAGAAGAAAGAGTAAAAGGAAGAAAACACTAATATAGAAAGAATAATCATAATTATAGTAATATTAGTAAATAGTAACAATAATGATAATAGCAGCTAACATTTACATAGCAATAACTATGTGCCAGGTACTGTATTAATAAGCATGCTACAATTATCATCACACTTGATCCTCACAACAATCCTGGGAGGTATGCTGCTGTTATCCCCATCTTACAACTAAAGGAACTGAAGCAAGCACAGGTTAAGTGACTTGCCCAGGGCAGAAGAAGGGAGTAGAATTTGCTATTTTTCATAATTTAGGTATGTGGAAGGAATGCACAAACAAGGAAGAAGGGGTGGGGAGAGTGGGCATCAGATGAACTTCACTCTTATCTGAAATGGACGAAGGAAAGTTGAACAACATACAAAGAGTATAGTGTAAAAATGCTTCAAAATTAATAAGGAAACAATCAGGATTAGGAAGGTGGTAGTGTTCAAAGAGAGAAAACAGTCTCAAGGAAAAGAAGTTTCCTGATCTTGAAAGCAAGTAGGAGGGACTACTTTAGACTGCCTCTTAAGACAATTAAGGAATGGCTGAACAAACTGTAATATATAATTGTACTGAACTGATAGAATGAAGTTAGCAGAGCCAGAAGAACAATTTATATGAAGGACAACATTGTAAAGAAAAATAACTTTAAAAGGTCTTAATAACGCTGATCAAAGCAATGATCAACTCTGTTTTTTGAGATATGTTACCCAATTCTTGAAAAAGAGTGGACTGCCACAAGGTTCAGACATACAGTTTTGGATATAGGCACTATGTGGATTAGTTTGCCTAACTCTTGCTTTATTTGTAATAATGTTGCTTTTTTTCCTCTATTAAAGCTAATGATAGCGTGAGAAAGAGATCAGGAGAGGGAGGGTAGCAATAGTGAAACCCCTCCCTTCAAAAAAAAGATACTTTTAAATGCACAGAAAAGAATAAAAGGAAGCTCAGAAAGAAGCACAGACAAGTAGGACAATTTTGAAAGCAACATGTAGAATTTATGTACTTTTTTAAAAACCAGAATTTCTTCTGTGTGTAGGAAAATGTCCCTTTTTGTGTATTTAGGTTCCTTATTAAAAAAATTAAATTTAAAAAATTAAGCAAAGTACTCAGGATGAAGAGGGGAAGAGGGAATTGGAAACCATGCCATAAACATGGTTGAAGAAATTGAAGAAATATTTAGCTTGAAAAGAAGACTTAAGGGTATCATGACAGCTGCCTTTTGTGTAAGTGAAGGGCTATTCCATGGAAGTGAGGTTAAATTTGTTTCACCTGGACCCAAAGGACTTAAATAGAAGAAACGGGTAGAAGTAGCAGAGGGTCAAAGTCAGCAAAGTGGCACCGTGCATAGAGCACTTGGCCTGGAGTCCAGAATATTCATCTTCCTGAGTTCAAATTCGGCCTCAGACACTTATAAGCTGTGTGACCCTAGGTAAATTACTTCACCCTGTTTGCCTCAAGCTTCCTAATCTGTAAAATGAGCTGGAAAAGGAAATGACAAACCTCTCCAGTATCTTTGCCAAGAAAACCTCAAAATGGGGTCATGAAGAGTAAGACACAACTGAAAGATGACTTAACGATTAAAGATGTTCAGAAGTAGAATGGCCTGCTTCAGAAACACGAAGACTCAGTGATAAAGAAATAGTGCAGGCTAAATAATAAATCATCAGCTATCTTGTAGTCCAACGTGAGTTAGACTAGATACCTCCAATTCTATCAAGTACAAGTTGTACAATATCTCTGAAATTCTGTTTCTGCTATATAGATACTATGTCATCATTTAGCTAACAATAAAAGGAATATTGTGCTAATATATAACTGACAAGTTAGCTTTTGTTAATCTAAATCAATTTTGTCTTAAGCTTAAAGCAGACAGAAATTTTTTTTGTGATTAAAAGTACGATAGGATTAAAATATCCATTTATCAATATGTCTAGGATCTGTCATTTCATCAGTGTGGGCAAAATTGCCGTGGGAACTTCTTCCATTGATACTGACCACAAGCCATCTATAACAAGAGTCCTAGAGAGCTTCCTGAGGCTCAGAAGGATGAAGTGTTTTTTTCATGATCTCATAGCTAGTTAAGTAGCAGAAGTGGAATTTAAACAATGTCTTAATTGTAAGTCTGGTAATCTAGTAGTACTATACTATGCTGTCATGACAGCTAAGCTTCATTCAACTAAACTTTTAAACTGCTAAAATGTTTTGGATTTGGCTTTTTCATCTCCTAAATAAAAACGAGACATGAGGAAAGAGAAAGCAAAAAGTGAAATAGACAGATTATGGTGGATGTGAAATCATGCCCTAAGAGGATTAGAGAAGAACAGGAATGTTTAGTTTACAGAGTACTTAAAGAGAATATACAGCTATCTTCATATTTTTAAGGGCTTTATTATATGAAGAAAATATCATTTATTAATTTTCATGAATACGGAAGAATTACAACCAATTATTACTTTTTTGTGAGATGAGGGGTGAGGAGGAGCAGTGAAAAGGAAGATTTCAGCTTAAAGAAAGATTTTTCAAGAATTATAGCTGTCCCTAAAACATAACTGGTTCCCTTGTCAAATAGTGATTTCCTGTCATTGGAGCTGTTCAAGCAGAGGTTGAATTTAATGATACTTATTTATCCTGCAGGGACACTATAGAAAGCATTCATGCATTAGGTATGAAGTTGGACCAGATAATCGCTCAGATCCTTTCAATTCTAAGATTCCATGTTTAAGAAACTGTCTACTTAAGATGCTCAGTTGACACATTAAAAACTTACACTGCTCCTGCTATTAATCCATTCTCCACCACATCTTTATCTTCTGGGCATAAAGGTTTATATTCTGTGTAGTTTCTTTCTTCAAGATTTCTCAGAACCAAGTTATAAAGAATGTGCTCATTGGGTTTTTGTAATAGATGCTCAAACATCCTTAAAGTCATAATGCTAATCTGTAACCAAAAGTATAAGAATGAATTTTAAAATATCTTTTAAATTATTATTCTTGCCTTTGTGCATACAGTTTTTGTTTCCAAATTTTAGTAACCAAATACATGGAAAAATGTATATAATATATACATACCTATATATTATATATACATAAGTAGATATTAGTATTTTAAACATTCTAAAGTTAAATTCAAAATTGTTATTTTTTTTCTCACCTCATCAGATATATGATCACAGTGCTCAATTAATCTATGCCGAAGTGGATGTCTGTTAATTTCTGCTAGTGTTTCTGGTTCCCTCTGCTCTCCAAGAATAAAAGAAACCATTTCTTGAAGTAAAACATCAGAGGTTACTTGCCGAACAATGCGATGGAGCAAAGCGGTAGATGTCAGAATACCCATCTCTGAACTGGATAAAATAAAAAGATACTTAGTGTTATCAGAAAAGACTAACCTGACATAAAAACACTGATTTTATTATTATTTATTTTCGATGGAAAGAGTCTACTCACGTTTGCATTAACTGTGGTTCCATAACACCAATGAAAAACCTTTCCCGAACAGCTCTGGCCAGAGCAACAGCAGCAGACTAAAATACAATATAAGAGTAACATTTTATAAATTGGAAAAAACCCCTGTATTTTAAATAATATTTAGGAAATTTAAAAAGTAATTTCCTAATTTAATTATGCGGGGAAAATAATCTTTCCTACTTAAGTATATAAATTGATCATATGGACCTAAACTGAGAAGCATCTTGGTGTAAAGCAAATAGAATGCTGGATTTGGGGTCAGAAAGATACAGGTTCAAATACTGCTTCTGACAGTTGTATGTCTACAAAGAATTTAACCTCCCAGTCTTAGGCAACTGTCTAAGACTACAAATGATGGATGTTGTTGTTTGTCCTTCATTCTTGAAGAGGACCACGACATCAGGAAGGAGATGTCTTGACTTACAAGTGAATTGGATTTAAGTGAGAGACAGCTGTGCAAAATCACAAGCCTCACTCTCTCGTCTAGAGTCATCTAGATCCAGTGACAAGATACAGATCAGGATGACCGGAAATGATGGATGACAGCTGCATTGGCAGGAGGGAGTTCTGCACCAACAAAATCACTGACATCTGGTCAGTGCTCTCCCAAAAGACTGCCTCAGCCTTGGAACTCACACCTCTTCACTACCTGCTGCCACTGATTAGAGGAGAAAAAGCTGAGAGCTCCTCCCAGGACCTTCAGTTAAGGAGGGCACCTAGGCTTGTCATCTTTTTATTTCCCACCCAGCTATAGTCCTCTGAACTTCTCCACCATGCCCTCATCAGGTACCTCTCCCTCAGTTTTGGACGCAGCCTTCCTCCAGCAGACCATACCCTCCCTGAAGGCAGGAGCTGTCTTTTTCACTTTCTTTGTATCCCCAGTGCTTGGTGAAGTGTCTGGCACATAACAGGTGCTGAACAATAGGTGCCTACTGACTGACCAAAAAAGTCCCTGCTGTATTGACACGATGCACCCAAATGATACATTATTTCTCGGCCCTATCCACACACATTAGACAAATGTCCAGAAACATGAGGACAAAGGCATAAATGGCATCCCAGGTAACCTGTCAGAGTTCATAAGCTAATTTGACTGCTGGTAAGCTCATTTATGTCATAAAATATTTTCACTCAGAAAAAAACATTTGTGTGAAACAAATTATCTTCTCTGAGAAACTATTTCAGAAAACTAGTGAATAGCTGGACTTGGAGTCAGAAGATTTGCATTTGAATTCCACCTCAGACACTCTTATGTGACCCTGGGCAAGTCATAGAACCTCTCTGAGCTTCAGTTTCCTCCCCTGTAAAATAGGAATGATAACAGTACCTTCTTCACAAGGCTGTTAAACCAGTCAAATTAAAGATGCATGTAAAGTGTTTGGAGGACCTGAAAGCATCATATGCTATCCATTATGATCATAGTAAATCATAACAGTTAAGCATTCTAGGCAAATAGCAGAGAAGTAACTTGAAGTAAATCTGCTAAGAAATGAAACCGCATTTCCTTTTCAGGGGTGGGAGGAGCTCGTGGAATAATCTACTGATTGCTACAGGAATATTTACAACAGCTCCTTCTTATAATACAGCAAGTTTTCTAACTTTCTCAAAGAAATATGTTATTTTCATTATGCTTTATAATATTTCTGAAAATTATGGAAGCAAATGTTATGCCCATTTTACACACTAGAAAGTGAGGCCACAGTAACTTATTCAAGGTAATAAAAAAAATCCAGACCTTGAACCTCAGTCTGTGTCATTTTCCAAGGAAAAATTATTTGGTTTTTTTTTAAACTAGGTGATGTAATAAACTTTATTAACATACTTAAAATCTATCTTGGGTGCCATGCAAGAAGTTCAAATTTCACATAAGCAGATACAAATTTATATTTTTTGAATGATCTGTGAGTCAAAGATATTTCAAACCTTTTGTGCTTCTTTAATTAGCTGATCACAGTAATCAAACCATGAGAGAAAGGAAATTAAGGCTCGTTTTCCTGGAAAAGCTGATGCATCTTCTTTGTGACTATATGAATCCAAGCTGTAATATACAGAAAAGTACTTAGTATAAGATATCCAAAAAAGTTTAGTTATAACTTTCAAGACGCACACATTTCATTCTGTCACCTGGGTTCATTTCTTGTCCATATGACAATGAGGAAGGCAAAAATGATTCCCAAAAATACAGTGTTTACACAAAGTAGTGAAAAGAAAATAAAGAAGGATTAGAAAAACAAATCATTTCAGTTGTCTTTTTTAGTGTGCAAAAATGGAAACAGTGAGGAAAAAAACCCGAATTTAAGGAGAAAAGAAAATATGCCTGATTACCTCCTCTCACCTTCCCCATAATCTCTGGAAACTAACAATAGAAAGCTAGGTTTGCCTTGTTGTTGGTATGGAACAGAAGTGAAGGAAGGTAAAAGAATTTGCAAATAAATGATAAATAAGTAGGTAAGTCTTCTTTCCCTTTTCTGCTGTGCAGAGTGATAACAAGACTACCAGTGGTTGGACAGCTAAAACAAGAGGTCCCTTTTTCAAGTAAGAAACTAAAACAGTACTACAATTCCGGTTTTAAAAAACGTGAAGGAAGGGCAGAATTTAAAGGTAGATATCCTAAGCATTCAGGCAGGCAAATATATGAAAGGTTTATCACCAGGGCTAGGGTACTTGATTCCTGAGTAAGGGAACTAGCACTATCTATCCATAAAGATTACCTTCTGAAACAAAGACAAAAGAAAAGTAGTTTAAATATATAACTGCTGGTACTCTCCAATACCCACTCCATTACAATCATTCATTCAAAATTAGGTACTTCTACAAACCTGAAACAGAGCAGTGAAATATAAACATCCCTAGAAGAGAAACGACAATTTTCAAAAGTAAAGGTCACTATAAAACAGAAATTACTAAAGAATTTACAATTTAATTTTTTTTTTCTTTATGGAGAAGTACAAATGAAGTTTCTTACCCCCAGTTAATTGCTTCCACCGTTTCAATGTCTAAGGGATCCACTGATTGAGGTAAGGCCTTATAGAGGGAAGCAAGTCTATCCGTCAGTAGCTCACATAAACAAGTACTCTGGGTAAGGCATTTGGCAGCTGCAGGTTCTGGCAAACTTACTAACAACATCAGGCCCTCACATGCCTTCACAGCTATTCGGCCATCCTATGAAAAAAGAAAATAGTAGCCTTTCAAATCACAATTCTGACTTCCAATAAGTAGTTTTAGGGGGAAAAACATATTAATACATTTTCTTCTAAACTAAGAACAGATTTTTAAGATTCTAAAAGTTTTATTTTAAACTTTTGCTACCACAACCATGCAAGAAGAAAACTACAAGACTTGTAAATAACAAAAGAACTTACTGGGCTTCTAGTAAGATTGAGCAAAGAATTTACTAAATTGTAATCCTGATGTGGCCGAGAAGCAGAAGCCTCAGGCAGTGAAGTAACATTTAGCTGATCCAATCTTGTGGACAGGTCATCTGGCTGATGAGGAAGATCATCTTCCATCTCTGTTGGCTCCATTCCAATACTACCAGAGAGGTCTTCAGGCAGAGAGGCCTGCCTTGTATCCGTTGTCAAGGAATCTTGTCCTTTTAATGTATCCTCTGTAACTACATCTGATTCTCCTTTGGAAGCGAATGGTTTTAACTTGTTCTGAAAAGAATCACAACATTCTCAAAGTCATACCAACAGCCCTAAAAACTATAATGCCTAGGGGGGGAAAAAGCGGATTCTTCTACAATCAGTATTTTATAAGTGCAGTTATTGTAATAATCAACAAGGTATTAATTATCTTCAGAAAAAACAATACTGCAGCTCAACATAATACCATGTATCTAATAGATTTAATACATCCCTTAACCGTTTTATGATAGTCATAATACTAGCTGGAAAATCTTTTCAGCAGAGACAAGTGACCACTAGTTTGGGTATTACTTGCTTTAACTTTCTTTATTGATACTGTATGTTAGATAAAACAGAACATAAAAAATTTTGAGACTAGATCTAAAAGTTCATACAATCATGTCGTCATGAAGGAAATGTCAATTATGATTACAGTAAGATCATGAGAATAATATGCATCCAAATAAAGTTATGAAATGTAAAATTTTAAATAACTTAATATCACACTCAAGATTTTTTCATAAATCTAGGTTTTTGTAAATGTAAACATCTCAACATATATTCTTGGCATCTGTACTCCTTAACAAGAATAAGAAACAATCTGAAGGCATTTTAATTACTATCTTCAAAGATAAGACTCCAACCTTTCTTACTACAATAATTTGTTTCCCTGAAACACAAAAAGGATCTTAAAGGAAAAGATGAATTTTAATGCAAAAGTTTTCAGTTGGGACACATAAACAGATGAGCAAAACTATATCACAGACACAAATTAGAATCTATCATAACAGGTCTTAAAATGATTAGCAAGTAAATTCAATATTTTCCTTTCACCAAACTAAAATCACAGTACTAATAATAGGGTTTATCATTATCTTGAGAAATCAAGCTGAGAGCACATGAAGTAGAGGTGAATAACTACAAAGGAAATAATAGACTATAAATAGTTACTATGCAGCAATCAATAAACAAATATTTATTAAGCATCTAGTATGTGCCAGGTGATTTGGATATAAGCAAAAAAATGAAAATAGTAACCATTTGCAATGATGAAAGAGAAGGGAAAATGATCCATTTGTACAAAAATATAGCAGTTCTTTTTGTGGTGGCAAAGAATTGGATATTGAGGGGATGCTCATAAAATGGGGAAAGATTGAACAAGCTATAGTATATGATTGGGATGGAATACTATTGTGCTATAAGACATGATGAGTAGGATGCTTTCAGAAAAACCTGTGAAGACTTACATGAACTCATGCAAAGTTAAATCAGCAGAACCAGGAGAACAATGCACACAATAATAGTAATATTGCAAGGCTGATCGACTGTGAAAGATTTAGCCACTCTGATCAAGACAATGATCCAAGACAATTCTATAAGGACCCATGATGAAATATGCAATGCCCCTCCACAGAGAGAACTGATGAACTGTGAGTGCAGATTGGAGCATACTTTTAATATTTATTTTTCTTGCTTTTATTTTTGTCTGTATTTTCTTTTGCAACATAGCTAATATGGAAACAAGTTCTACATGAATATACATGTATCATTAATAAAAAAAAAATTGCTTGCCTTCTCAAGGAGGGAGGAGAGGAGCAAGGGAAGGAGAGAATTTTTAAAATGACTGTTAAACTTTTTAACGCATAATTGGTCAATACTTAATGAAATAAATAAGAACTTATTTAAAAAAATAATCATTGAACTATGTGAATGTTATGACCCCCCAAAAATGGGGGGTGGGGCCGAGACTTCATATTTCAAGAAATCTTAAAAGAAAACTGCCTACATTTCTTAGAACCAGTAGGCAAAGTATAAATGAAAAGAATCCACTGATCAGCTTGTGAAAAAAAAAATCCCAAATGAAAACTCCCAAGAACATCAGCCAAAATCCAGAGCTTTCAAGTCCAAGAAAAAAATACTGCAAGCAGTCAGAAAGAAGTAATTCGAATAACAAAAAGTCACAGTTAGGATTACACATGATTTAGTAGCTACCATTATAAAGGTATCAAGAACCTATAATACAGTATTCCTAAGGGCAAAAGAAACAGGCTTACTCAGCAAAACTGAGTATAATCCTACAGAGCAAAAAAAATCTTTAATGAAACAGAAGACTTCTAAGAAATGCAGATGAAAAGACCAGAGCTGTGGAGAAACTCTGAAGTTTAAACAAAGGAGTGAAGAGAAACATAAAAAGGTAAACATGAATAAACAATGGTAAAGCACTAAACAAGGGCATAAACTGTTTACATACTAAAATGGGGAAATGATACATGTATCTCTGCTGATCTCTAGCATCATGAGGGATCATAAAGGGAGTCTCCTGGGAGTGGTTCTGTTATGTCTTGATGATCTTAAGAGAAGAATGAAGAGAGAATTGAGAGGGAAAGGAAAAGAAATTATCTTACACAGTCAGGGTGCATGCACAGTAGGAGTCTACACAAACAAGGAGGATGTGTGTGTGGAGGGAAAAGCTGACACTTCAACCTCTCTCTCAAATGAACTGGTCAAGGGAAGAAAGGAAGAATACATACACACATACACGCAGTTGGGTACAGAAATATATTTCACTCAACCAGGAAAAATGAGGGAAAGAAGAGAAGAATGAGAGAGAATTAGAAGGAAAGTAGCTTAAGGGAGAGACAGTCCTAACTGAAACAAACTCTAAGGATGTGCAAAAATATTTATATTTTTTTTTGAAGTGGCAAAGAATTGGGATCTGAGGGGGTGTCTACAAATTGGGGGATGGATAATTTATGTATATAAATGTCAGGGAATACTATTGTGTTATACGAAATAATGGAAGAGGAAGCTATGTAGCACAGCTGAAAGAGCACTTGCCCTGGAGTCAGGAAGACCAGAGCTAAAAACAAAATTTGAATTTCAAATACAAGACTCAAGAGAAGTATAAAAAGGTAAACAGGAAAGGGGAATCATAAGGGACTTAATAAGGTTAAACTGTTTACATTCCTTCATGGGAAGATGATATTTGTAACTCATAAGATCTTACTCATTATTAGGGTAGTTAGAAGCAGCATATATTAAAAAGAGGGTACAGGTGTGAGTTGAACATGAAGGGATGATATCTAAAAAATAAAATTAAGGAGTAAGAAAGGAATGTACTGGGAGAAAGAGAAAGGGAGAGGCAGAATGGTGTAAATTATCTTACATAAAAAAGCCAAGAAAAAGCTTTTGCAGTGGAGGGGAAAAGCAGGAAGGTAAGGTGGAGTGAATGAACCTTAATCTCATCAGAACTGGCTCAAAGAGGGAATGACATATATAATCAATTGGGAACAGAAATCTATCTTACTTACCCTACAGGAAAGTAGGAGAAGAAGGGGATAAGAGAAAGGGGGCAAGTGATGGAAGGGAGGGCAGATTACAGGAGGGGGTAGTAAGAAGCAAAAAACTTTTCAGAAGGGACAGGAGAGAGGAAAGGAGAGAGAACAGAATAAACAGAGGAGGGAGGGTAGGATGGAGAAGAATACAGTTAGCAATGGTAACTGTGAAAAAAATTCTGAAGTAAGTTTCTCTGATAAAGGCCTCATTTCTCAAACATATAGAGAACTGAGTCAAATTTATAAAATTAAGAGCAATTCCCCAATTGATAAATGATCAAAAGATATCATCAGTTTTCAGATGAAGTAATCAAAGCTATCTATAACCATGTGAAAAAATGCTCTAACTCATTATTAATTGGAGAAATGCAAATTAAAATAATTCTGAGGTACTACTTCATACCTATTAGATTGGCTAATAGTACAGAAAAGGTACATGACAAATATTGGAGGGAATGTAGGAAAAATGAGACTTCAGTGCACTGTTGGTGGAGTTGTGAATGGATTCAACCATTCTGTAGAGCAATTTGGAACTATGCCCAAAAGGGCTATAAAACCATCTATATATCCTTTGACCTAGCAATACCACTACTAGGTCTGTACCCCAAAGGAGATAAAAATATGTACAAAAATATTTATAGTAGCTCTTTTCTGGAGATAAAGAGAAAGAACTGATGGTGTCTGAATACAGATTGAAGCTTATTTTTTTACTTCATTTTTCTTGAGGGTTTTCTTTCTGGTGTATGTTTTCTTTCACAACATGACTATTATGGATATCTTTTGCAGTACTACACATGTACAACCTATATCAAATTGCTTGCCTTCTTAATGAAGGGGTGGGGAGAGAGGAAGGAATGGAGAGTTTGGAACTCAAAGTTTTAAAAATGAATGTTAAAAATTGTTTTTACATGTAAACGGGGAAAAATAAAATAATGAAATAAAAGCTCAAAAAAAAAGAAATGATGGAAGAGTTTCAGAGGAACCTGGGAAAACTTGTAGGAACTAATGCAGAGTGAAGTGAATAAAACTGGAATAATTCAAACAATTACAATAATATGGTAAAAGCAAACAACTTTGAAAGAATTAGGAACTCTTATCAGCATAATAACCAACCACAACTGCAGAGGACTAATGACAAAACATGATACCTCCTGATAGAGAGGTGAAAGACTCAGAGTGCAGAATAAGACAAAATTTTTTGGACATGGCCAATATAGAAATCTGTTTTGATTGACTACATAAGTTTGCAAGGGGTTTTGTTATTTTGTTCTCAATTGGAATGAGGGAGAGGATTACAGTGGGAATGGGAGAAGGCAAAATTTTTTTTTGGGGGGGGAATGTGGCAGTTAGGGTTAAGTGACTTGCCCAAGGTCACACCGTTAGTGTCAACTGTCTGAGGCTGGATTTGAACTCAGGTCCTTCTGACTCCAAGGCTGGAGTTTTACCCATTGTGCCACCTAGCTGCCCTGCAATTTTTTTTTCATTGAAACAAATAAAATATAATTGTTTAAAGAGAGTCTTAAAGTATTTAGAATTTATTTCATGTTGTGAAATTCCTTTCCCTTCCCATTTACAACACAAAATCATATTCCCTAAATTTTACTAGTAAAAAAATGAAATACAATAAAATTTCATTAATTCAGATTCAATTAATTTGAATTTCTAACAATTCAGACATGCTGGGCTGAAATTTGCCTTTTAACTGTGTATGAGACAAGGTTTGCCAAACTAAAAGAGTAGATATTTCAGGTAAAATATCCAGAATGTCAAGGACAAACTATTTTCAAGCAGCTCAGAAGCACCATTTCCAATGAATATACTAATTAGTGATCATTATTCTCTTTTATTACAGCAAACTAAACAAGGAACTCTAGTAGACAATATTGTTAGTTTCGAATATAAGTACTTTTAAGTTTGAGAAATCCATGTTATGGCTGGAAAACTTCAGTAGGTAGCTGAGAGATTATAAGGGCACACACATTTATAGAGTTTAAGATTTATTATGTTTTCTTCAGTCACATTGTGGGGTAGTTAGTACAAATATTATCATCCCCATGGAGACTGAGAAAATGACTTGCTCAAGGTCACAAAGCTAGTAGGGACTAGGTCAAAGGTTCTTAAATTGGAGTCCGTGGACAAGGAGTCTTGGATGGGAAAAAATTACATCTTTATTTTCACTAACCTTTAATTTATCATTTCCTCCTATTAGAAGTGTACGCAACAAAAATTATTCTGAGAAGGGTTTGCAGGCTTCATTAGACTGCCAAAGGTGTCCATGACACAAAAAAAAGGTTAAAGAAATATGAAACATAGCTAATATTACTAACCATTATATTAAAAAAATTTCCTCTGTTCTATAGTCAGGATTTCAATACAGGTCTCCTAATTCCCAGTCCACCATTCTTTCCACTACAAGAGAAGATATTTCTAATTTCAGAGATTTTCTTTTAAGTCAAATTATAGTATGCATTTTCCTCTCATTGATAAATAGGAAACATAGTTAATATACTAACCATAATAAAAAAAAGATTTTCAGAATATATTAATGCATTTCTTCCACCAAATTCATGCAACTTGGAAGCCTACCTGAAGTGCCTATAGGTAATATTGAATAAACCATGAATTGAATACTAATCTAAATTTTCCATCCTCAGTGACTGCAGTGCTAGGAAACATTTGCTTATACTTGAAGCTAATGTTGCTCATCATGAGGCTAATCAACAAATGTACTTTTCCCACTAAGTATAAAACTAAAATTCAAAAATGTTTGTTTTAATAAAACATATTTTTTACAAAAAGAAAATGCAAAATAATCAGTAAAATAATGTAAAATTGGCCACATTGCCTAACATATTAAATCTAAGAGAAACCCCACCCATTGTTTATACCTGGCATAAAATTAGATATCTACACTTATCTCTATCCAATATCAGACTTATCAGACAATAGTTACAGCAAATCTGGCTGCAGGTTGTATCTACAGGGGCTTTTTAGTCTACTCCTTGTGTCCTCCTTTCCAGTTGAGCCTTAGTGTTGGCTACATCTTAATTCTGAAACTGTATTTCACAATGAAAATTCCATCAATGTGATTCAAGTGCATTATTTTAGCATCAAATTGGGAATAAAATAGCAAGTGCTAAATAAGAAGTTAATTCTTAGCAAATGACAAAAACAAGTAGTTTAAGTCTTTACTACTTCCAAAAGCAAAGTTCTTGTAAAATTATAACTTAAAACCAGTATTGAGTATCTCTAGCCATAAAGCATACTTCTACATACCTCAAGAAAAAAATCGACCAAGTAGGGATCTTGTTTTAATTTTGCACACACTATACAGAGAAACTGAATTTCTTCATTTTCAGTTGGAGTTGCAAGAACTTCACCACAAAGTCTGATTAATTTCTGTTTAAAAAAAATGAATTCTTTTGTATAATTCATATAAATATTAACTAAAGTAAAGCAAGGATTTTTTGATACTTCAAATTTGTAGAAGATGCATATACCACATGTTATGTAGATAGGGAAAATATTCTCATTTTCTAATGTATTTCTTAGTATCTCCAATATTTCAAATAAAAAATTGATAATTATATCAATGAACTTTAACACAGTATCTTATAAATATGTGGAACTCAAATATTTGATTAGACTTAAACATTCCCTTTTAAAGACAAGTGTGTTGTTAGAACCTTTAGGAAAAGATTTAAAATAATTTCTGTATCAAACCAAATAAAAAATATTTTTATGTTAAAGGAGGGGAAAAATACCTGCACTGGTCTGTGTACATTAATGTGTGGAAGTAGTGGTTGTCGAATTCTTCCTAAAAGTTTGGTATAGAAAGCCAATACCTGCTGTTTCATTCCTGGAGGACACTACAGACACAAGAAAAAGAGAAACAGACAATAAATATAAATATACATATAAATATAAATATATTTGGGGTTAAATAACCCCAAAGTGAAGAGATGGCTAAAAGAATTTTCATTAATTTATTGCCTCCTCAAAATCACAACATGCAATTAGATAATTAAAATATCAATCATCATAATTTATATTCTAGAAATAAAATTCTGTATCAGACTACATGGTTTGTGAAGTTAAAGACTTGTAATTACTGAAAGTTTGTTGACAAGATAATGTTGAGATCTAAGTTTAGCACAAGCAAAGTCAGATTATGTATATTCTAAGTGTTGGTCTTACATTTCACAACTAAAGAGATTACTACTTAATAATGGCTGGAAATTTCCCAATGTGTAAACAGATATAAACAAATGGGATTCTATGGGACAAATTGTATCTTAATGGACTGATTTAACTGTACTTGATTTAATTATTTGTAAAATAGTATGCATTATATTTTTTATAGCTAGTGAAGATTTTAATAAAGTTTTTGAAATATAAACCCAAATATGTTGTATTAAACATGAAATATCAGCTAAAAATTAAAAGAAATTGAGAACTGACACGGTGAGATTAAATGGGTAAGGAATTAACAATGAAGTTATATTAGTCACATGTCCTATAATCAATACTAATCATACTGCCTTTCAATGAGCATTTTCTAAGCATTAAAAATTATGTATCAGGAAAGAATATGAACTATAACTTTAGTCACAAAAACATTTGTTCTGTAATTCACATGTTGTTCTCATTTCATGCTATTACATATGTGTTATTACAAATTACAAATATACCAGTGTAGCTGAAGAATCATTATCTTTTTCCAGTACTTTTATTTAAAAAAACAAACCAAAAAAAAATCAGTGAAAACTGAATTGCAGAGCATCTGGTATACTAGGAAGAAATAAAAATTGAATGAATAATTGAGAACTTAATAAGACAACAAGATACTTAGTAATGTCTATTCATACACATACATGTAAATCAAACACATATAATATACAATCACTAATAATTTTAGAGAATTTAAATTTATAATGTTTAGAAAGACATGCTTAAAGAAAATTTACTTCTCTATCTGCTTATCTGAACATCATTCATATAGAATCTGATTAAAAAATTTTATATTGCTGGAAGAGAACTGAGATATCATCTAGCATCCAAGCCATTATTTGAAAGGTGAGGAAACTAAAAGCTAGATTATTCTAATTGGTGTTGGTGAGTCAGCCAGTGCAAAAGTACCTGAATCAATATATATAGCCAGACCCCAGACCACATTTCCCATCCCATATACTATCTACCCTGGCCATCTGTTTTGTTTGCTGATGGTTCCCTCCAGGGCACAGGACCTCATGAGATCATAAAGTGGGAGATTTAACCCCTTGGCTCTAGCAGTTCCATCCTGAGGCTCAATTTATCCTAACCGGTTTGTCACATGATCCACTATAATTAGTTGGTCCTAAATCATGTTTCACACTCTACTGTCCATCTTCTGACCATCTATTTGTACTGCCATCCAATCTACTTGATTATTTGTGTTAGAATTTTAGTGTATTATTTGTTATTCAAAAGTTTTGAAATGAATGACCTCTGCTCACTAAGGAAAATATATAGTCTACACAAATAAATGATTTAATTTTAGCAAGCTTGATCCCAAGTCACTCCATATTCTGATTTCAAAATATTCATAGTTTCATAAAATGCATACGAACAGAATGAGTTAAGAACTTACATCAGCTTTCCCTAATGTGTACAATGTTTCCAAGATCTTGTGATGAAGTAAATATTCCATGCAAGGCCCAGTCTCTCCAAAGTCTAGTTCATTTTCTTCTTGTATCAAGATATCTAGCATCTGCTCCAGATGAGATGGAATGTTTGTATCTGTCACTGGAGCTTTATCATCTAAAGAGTAAAAATAGTATCCACCAAACTTATACATTAAAATATATTTGTATTTTTAATCACATAGATTATGAAATACCTCTATTTTCTTACTACTATTTGGACTCTACAAAATGTGGATGAATCCATATGATAATGTTTTCCCATTAAAAATAATACTTTTTTTGCCATAATCCTATTCAAAGAATCTATTCAATATTCTGCATTAAATCTTGTTCATCCAAAATAACCAACAAAGAACCTCTTTTGCACTTATCCTATTTGTTAATTTCTCTGTGCCTGCTTTATCTCCGCCTAATTATAAAGCCAACAAGGCCATGTGTATCTTTTTTATATCTGTATCTCCAGTAGTACAATGCATCATAGTAGGTGTTTAATAAATCATTCTTGAATTAAATAGAATTGCAGTGTATTTTCCATAAGAAAACACGATTACAGAAGGAAATAGCAACATCAATTCAACACTTCCAAAAATAACAAATAAAATATTTAATTTAACTATAATTTGGAAAACCTGACTTTTAAGATGAATTATGAAGAAAACTGGCTGTCTGAGAGTACCCTTGGGGTCAGGATTGGAGAGAAGAGGGGAGGAAAGTTGGGGAGGAGAGGAAGGCACAGAGAATAAAGTGAGTACCATTGGGTTCTTTCTTGATTCTGTCACTGGGTTATCATGTGATATTGGGAAAGTCAATTTATCCTACCTGGTCATCATCTCTTCATGTGTGGGTTTGTTTTTTTTAAATATAGTAGGAAACAAAAGAAAACCCTTTTAAGTTAATGACAATCTTTTGATTAGACTTTTCAAATTTCCTGTTAAGGCATAGTAAACATTACAGATTTCCCCCCGGTATTCCCCACCCCCACTTTTATAGTCATATTATTTAATTTAGTAAGGAAAACATGTTTTCCCCTTTTTAATCCAACCTCTCTCTCTCTCTCTCTCTCTCTCTCTCTCTCTCTCTCTCTCTCTCTTCTATATATATATATATATATATATTATATATATATTATATATATACACACATATATATATATACACACACATACACACACACACACACACACACACACACACACACACACACACACACACACACACATTTTTACCCCTTTGGCTAGGCAATGGGGTTAAGTGACTTGCCCAGGGTCCCATAACTAGTGTCAAGTATCTGAGGCCGGATTTGAACTCAGGTCCTCCTGACTCCAGGGCAGATGCTCTATCCACTGTGCCACCTAGCTGCCCCCAATTCAATCTGATTTTATATTATAACAGTAGATTAAACAATGAGCTAGACCCAGAATTTAGTTAGAGGTATTAAGTGACCTAAGTGACATCTAGGAAATTGTATAACAATTTCAATTATCTTAAGCTTTTAATACCAATACTTCTGTAGTACGTTATATACTGGAAATTTCAAAATGCCAAACATATCCATGATGGCAAGTGCAGTGGAATAAGTACTGGATTTACAGTCAAAGGACTTGGTTTCAAAAAAAGGGTTTTTTTTAACTTATTACCTGTAGACTCATATGTTCAACAATATTTATAGCAGTTCTTTTTGCAACAGCAAAGAACCAAAACACAAGGGGGTGTCCAATAATGGGGAATGGTTAAACAAATTATGATGTATGAATGTAATAGAATACTACTATACTTTAAGAAATGACAAGAGATGGCTTCAGAGAAACCTGCCAAGCTTGCAATGAATAGATGCAAAATAAGTAGAACAATTTATACAATAATAGCAATATTTTAAAAACAAACAACTTTGAAAGACACAAGAACCATGATCAACACAATGACGATGATTCCAAAGGTCCAATGATGAAGTAAGCTACCCACCTCCTGACTGACAAGCAATGGACTCACCATCAAAAATGAGACATATATTTTTGGTCATGGCTGAAACAGGAATTTTTTTGCTTGACTATTTACTATAAGGGTCTTGTTTTTCTTATTGCATTTCAGGGAGAGAAAATAAATTTTTATTGGGAAAAATATATTTTAAAAAATACATACTATTGATCTGACCACAGTTAAATTGTTTCACCTCTTGAGGTTTAAACTGGAAGGAGTTCATAGGATCATAGAATTAAGAGCTAGACAAGACCTGACCTTAAGAGGTCATCTAACTCAACCCTTTCATTTTAAAAATGAGGAAACTGAGGCCCAGAGAAGTTAAATATCTTGCCTGTGGTCACACAGGTATTATGTACAGAATAGGAACATGAACCCAGGTCCTGTGACTACAAACCAGTACTCTTTCCAATACGCTGCTTCTATAATATAGAGCTGGAAGAAAACTCAGAAGTCATTAAGTCTAATGCTCATTTTTATAAAGAACAGGCCCAGAAAGATTAAATAAACCATTTTCAATTAGGAAATAGAAGAACTATTTGGTATTTGATATCCTTTCTAGCTCTAAAGCTATGATTCTGTGATCCTCAAAATTGTGGATGATCCAAAAGGACATGGAGAGACTCACAACAGGCATAAATAGGCTGCATGAAATAAATTACCAACACTAACTTGAACCCAAAAAGATGAAAAAGATGTCACTCAGGAGATGTTTAGACACAAAAGAAAATGGATGAATCATGCGATGAGAGTAAGGAATAGCAAACAGTGTTGCACTGCTATCAATATAATGTTAGAAGACACAGAGGAAAGCCTCTAGCACACACTGGGTATCTCCCATGAGAAACACTGATAGGAGGACGTGGATAAAAATCTCAGAGAATAAGAAGTCAAGGATAAGTTTCTGTCTAGAATGTTAAAAGAAGGAATGCCAATAGAGATGAAATAATGGATTCATGAGTTTTAAAGAATTTTTTAAAAGCTCACGTTATTATTATAATACATTTTATTTGTCCAGCTAATTCTTGGTTAACCCCTCTAGTTGGGTCTTCTCTGAACTTCTAAATTTAATATGTACTGTACTACGTTGCTATAGTTCAATTTGACAAGTCATCATTAAGCATTTTCTATGGATAAGGCACAATGCAAGGATACAAAGGATACAAATTTAAAAAACAACATTCCCTTAGCTTAAGAAACTCACCTAGCTGTGTGACTCTGGGCAAGTCACTTAACCCCAACTGCCACACACACACACACACACACACACACACACACACACACACACACACAAAACCAACCCCACAAAAAAATCACACCTCACATTCTAGTAGGCATATACTTGATGTACTGATTTGTATAAAATATGAGCTTATTGTTTCATTCTTTTCACTTGTATTGACAGCTATTTGGCACAGAGCCTGACACAAAGTATAGACATTTAATGCATATTTGTTGATAGGCTGAGTTGTACACAAATTTGCATATACATTGTATGTATGACACATGTATTTAACAACGTTTATTAAGCTATTTGTTACTTGCTCAGAACCAGGGAATTTATGGGAATTTGAAATTATAGGAAATAGGTTAGTCCTTGTCCTTGTTCAGCTTATTAGTAATTTTCATCTGTGAATTTTTTTTTTTGGTTAGGCAATGGGGTAAAGTGACTTGCCCAGGGTCACACAGCTAGTAAGTGTCAAGTGCTCGGTCTGAAGCCAGATTTGAACTCAGGTCCTCCTGAATCCAGGGCCGGTGCTCTATCCACTGCGCCACCTAGCTGACCCCATCTGTGAATATTTTCTCTGAAAGATATTGGAAACTTCTTGAGATTGGAGACTGAGCCATTTCTTTTTTATTCCCTGGGATAGTTTTCATACTGAAAAGATGGCTACTGGCTATTTGTCTTTGTACTGGCTGCCTCACTCATGCCTGACATGCACTCCTATCTCCTCATGTTCATCTCTTAGAATGTTTAATTCCCTCCCTTCAAAACTCAGCTTAAGTGCCCCCTCCTAAATGCACTGATCCACTCAGGCGCTACTGCCATAACATTCCTCTCCCTACAAAAATAGGTCCTTTGTACATTGCTTATATGTGCACATCTCATTTTCCTCCAATGGAATATAAGCTCCCTGGAGGCAAGGGCTGTTTCATTTTTCTTTGTGTGTCCAGTGCCTAGCATAGTCCTTGGCACTAAAGAAATACTTACTGATCAATTGACTGATACAATGTTTTTTTAAAATCTTGATTTGAAAATAATTCATGAATTTTCCACAAATTCACCAGATCATAATGAGTATTTGCTATTTATCATTAATAAAAAAATACTACTAGAATGACTCCTTAATGATGAAAAATAAATGAAAAGAAATTAACTTGAAGTGTGTCATGGTAAATGTGTTTTCCTTAATGGTGCCGGGGGTGGGAATTCAAGAGCTAAGCACAGTCATCAGGAAAGGTAGCACCCTTTAATAAACATTTCTGCAAATTTCTGCTATCCAGATTGAACAGAAAAGGATGCAAAAAATTAGGTCTGACACTAAAGGACACATTTCCAATTACAAAGAATAAAAAAATGAAGGGTGACATTGTCTACTATTTGCCTTTGCTATGTTACTAGCTCTGTTACCCTGGGCAAGTCACTTAATGCCAATTGCCTCATCAAAAAAAAGAAAGAAAGAAAATAGGCGATTTTGATCCTTAAAATGCCCTGAAATAAATTTCACAATAGAACTAGAAAATATCCTTTTGAAATATAAAATGGTGACATAAAGTAACATAGGTATATTTCTAAAATGACAATTTGCTCAAATATGTGATATTCATTTAATAACTAGTACAGCACAAATTGGGAAAGACTTAGTTTCTAAAAAGTGAATCAAAGAAGAAGCTGTCTAAAAAAACCGCCTTTTGGGGGGAACTTAGGTAATGAAAAGAGATCCCAGCATTTCATAAACCTAGCTTTTCTTCATATACAATTTCTGTACCCAATTAAAAAATTACCTGAAGTCTCTATGTAGTAATGGGTAATTGCCTTCCAGTGATAAACAAAATCTTCTTGTAAAGGAAGAGAAGGTGCAAGCTACAAAGAAACAAAAAGAAATATCTCATAATTTAGAAAACAGCATTTTTTTATTTTCCATAGAATGAAAAAGAATTCTAGTCTATTTATATATATGATATCATATAAAATACCCACTTTTAAATGCCTTTTCCTCTAGATCAGGTACTAAAGTGAACCATAAAAAAGTCTAAACCAAGAAAATAGAAATAGAATTTATACAGAAGATGGAAAATATAAATTATCAACACAAGGATTACAATTTAGCATTACTGTTAGACCATTATCTTTTCTTGGCATGGTTTAAAATTTTTTTTTTATTAATCTACTGGTAAAGATGTGCCATGTTTTTATCAAAGAAAACAGTTAACTCATCCTCATTTTGCCAATATTTATTTTTAAACTAAAACTCATATCAATATTTAGCATCAGAAGAATGAAACTATATCAAGGGAACTTTCTACTTTGGACTTTAAAATATAAAGCAGTACTATTTCCACATCAGCAAAAAAGAATATATAAAGCCAACTAAGTAAGCAGATTAAAGGTAACACTTTCAGAGACATTTAAAACTAAGTCTTTCCCAATTTGTGCTGTACTAGATATTAAATGAATATCACATATTTTAGCAAATTGTCATTTTAGAAATATACCTATGTTACTTTATGTCACAATTTTATATTTCAAAAGGATATTTTCTAGTTCTATTGTGAAATTTATTTCAGGGCATTTTAAGGATCAAAATCGCCTATTTTCTTTCTTTTTTTTGATGAGGCAATTGGTGTTAAGTGACTTGCCCAGGGTAACAGAGCTAGTAACTGTTATTTTTTTACTTTTTACTTTATTAAAGGCAGAGAGCCTGTCAGGTCTGACTTAGAATGAATAGATTTGATAGCTACAAATTTAAGACTGATAGTGATTCATTATAATCCTGAACAGAGGACCCAAAATTTCATACTATTTCTGTTGTTATTTTTAGGGAAACTAATAAGTATAAGAATTGCCAGAAGGGACTTGAAATTGGAAATACCAATGCCTAAACAAATGCTAGACTAAACAGTATGTAAATATCCAACTATTTCCCCATATTTCCAAGTAAAAGAAGAATACATGCTTTTAACAAACTATATTTGGTTATTCACACATATAAGTACAGAGACACACATTTTTATCTGTGTGTGTGTGTGTGTGTGTGTTTTCTTACATGAGAAGCAGTATAGTATAATGGATGGAAAAGTTAGTTTCAATCCTTATCTGACTCTCTAAGACTATAAATTACAAATATAGTCTAGAACGGCATTTGTAGAAGGAGTTTCCTTATCAGGGAGTTCCCCATATCAATGAACTTCTAGGACCAGTCTCTAGGCCTACTGCTATTCATATGCCACTCAACAAAGTAGGATACCTATTTGTGACCTTTTTATTATTTTAAAATCACTTAGCATGAATATAAGACTGAAAGAACACCCTCGGACCAACTTCTATACTCAAGAGACGGATCATAATAATACTTTACAATTATGTTGTGTTTTAAAGTTTGTAAAGTACTTTATATAATTTATCTCATTTGATTCTTACAACAACCCACCTTGGTGAAGTGTTATTATTCTCCTCAATAACTGGGAACTGTGGATCAGAAGAGTTAAACGACTTGCCCAGCATCCTATGGCTAGTAAATTTCTGAGGCAACACTTGAACACAGGATCATCCAAAGAAACCCTTCAAGTCAGCCTTATAGATAATTCTAACAAAAAAAGCAGGACTTGCAAATGAATTGGATTAGAGTGAGGGCTGTTCAAAGCCACCAGCCTCACTTTCTCCTCCAGGGCCATCTGAGTCCACATTTTGACGGCTGAAACCTACCTAGTTTTCTTAGGCAAGGGTTACCTTGGGCCTGGAGGTCACAAGTGGCCCTCTTTTCACTCAGGCTCTCATGGATTGGACAACATTAGGTCCCAGGAAAGCACCACTAAATGGCTACTTTTTAGGTACTCCAGGCTCAGAGTGAATGTACATAGTAATTGTTTCTCTTTTGGCCAGAAACCCTGAGGGTCTTCCCCTCCCAGTTGATTCTTTTAGGTGTCATCCCTTGGCTCACTTCTTAAAAAGGCCTATTCTCTGAAATTCTCAAAGTGAGAACCTGAAAAGACGTTTAGCTTAAAAAGGCTACTGCATCCTGGGCCATCTCCAGTCGTCCACATCTATATCTACTATACTGGACCCAGATGCCTCTGGAGGAAAAAGTGAGGCTGGTGACTTAGCACAGCCCTCCCTCACTCTAATCCAATTCATTAGCAAGTCATGTCATCATCTTCCTGAAGTTATGGTCCCCTTTGAAAATGAAAAGAGAAACCACAACAAAAAGTAGGTCTTAAAAATATTTGCCCATAATGCATAACTTCTATTATCTTTAGTCATGCCTTTTCTTTTTTCTCCTTCCTACTTCCTCTCCTAACATTAGTGATCTAAAAGAAAATAAATCTATTCAACAGAAATATGATTTCTACAAAATCTTTAAGTCATTAAAATCCTTTATTAAAAAAGAAAAACATGCACATGGGAATGGTGCAAATAAATAAATGCAAGGAAGATTGAGGATAATATGAGGAACATTGAAGTGTGAGACAAATAAGGGAAAGATAGAAAGGAATAGTAAACTAGGGAAAAATTAATGTTGATACAGGCTATTCTTAAATCTTGCTTTAGGTTGATACCTACTTTTAGAAAGATTTTTCTTCAAAATATGCATACCTCCCTAAATAATTTCAGTTTCATCAGAAATATAAGTTGTGTGACAGATCTCAAAATTTAGTAGCTAATACAGAAGACATATCTAGGTTATTCTTAAAAATTTAGTCCTTTTGTTTCATTTTCAAATCTTCAGAGAGATTTAGATTTAGAAACAGATTTAGAAAGAATGATAGATGAATCAAAGGAAGTAGCAGTTGTCTCAGATCATTTTAACAATGTAACTCAATCTTTTTACAGGATGGGCCACTGAGAAATAAAGAGTTCAAGACTGGGCTTCAGCTATAATCAACATGGACCATGTGTTTGCTCTGTAATACCCCTCTCCTAAGAATGAGATTTGAAATAAGAAACTTAATTTTAAACAGAAAGTTAAAAAGGTCCAAATAACAGTTTGTTTTCAATTTTAAAATAAGGGGTTAGTAAGATGACTCCCTAGTAAATCTACCTATTCCATTGCTAATCCCCTTTGGACTAAGGGTAGTACATTTTGTTTTGCAACTTGACTACACTGATCATATATCATAGTTATCTGTGAGGTGTCTAATGTGATCTCCTCCCCCTCAGAACTGTCTGTTTGAATGCAAGAGTAGTAAATTAGAAATGTGGAATCAATCACTGCATAGAAACTTCAATTCTTCCACTAAAAAATAAGAAGTGTGATTAAGAAAATATCTTATTTTGGAGTTTAGCTTTATCCTATCAACTTCCAAACATGGGGACTAATGGTGAATAATCTTTTATAACTTTTCCTTAAAAAAAAAAAGGGGGTTTCCCTCAGGGTAATAAACACATTCTTGGCTTTGATAACGAGCACATATGTTTAATACCAATGTTAAATGATCTATCCTGACCAAACAGTTCTTCAAAAAATAAAATCATTCCTACCTTTCTTTTCCTTTGTGCTATTCTCTTTTCCCCTTAGCCCTTACCATCCTCCTCTCTCTTTAAATACTGTCAACCCCCTAAGGCCTAGATCAAATCTAGTCTGTAGAAGGTCCTCATTAACTACCTCAGTCAATGATTTCTCTCCTGCTCTAATACTTATTGTCTGTAGCAATCATATGACACATGCTTCCTTATATTATAATTGAATTGTGTTGATAATATGTCATCTCCTCAATAAGATAATACAAACCTTAAAGGCAAGGGCCATGTGTTATGCTTCTGTTTAACCTCCACAGCACAATTTTTTATGCACATGTTATAAAATGGTTCTGGGGTGGAGTCATAAACATATTTAAGATAGAACAAAATACTGTATTATGAATTTGACTTTTTAAATCCTTGTTGATGTTCAGTCATTTTAGCTGTATCCAACTTTTCATTACCTCATTTGGGGTTTTCTTGGCAAAGATACTGGAGTGGTTTGCCATTTTTTCCTTCTTCAACTCATTTTATATATGAGGAGACGGAAGCAAATAGAATCTCATAGCTTGTGTCTGAGGCTGGATTTGAATTCAGGTCGTCCAGACTCTGGACTCCAGGCCCCATGCTCTATCCACTGTGTGACCTAGCTGCCCTTTTAAATCCTAAACTAATAATTTTGGAGATTATTCACCTCAAAAATCCCTTCTTACCTAGTTGAAGGGAAACAAGATTTTACATAAAAATTGAAAGTAAACATGGTTATCCCCCTTCATAATGTCTTGGGGATATTATCCTATCTGGGGAAACATACTCCTTAAAACTGGAATTAGACTAGCAAGGAATTTAAGGTAAAAGAAGGCAACTTATTTCCCCTTTAGTTGCTTCAAATGATATAGTCCCCAAATCATCTAAAAACACATCTCAGATGTGTGGCATGTAACACTGATCTGTTTACTGGCAATAAACAAAGGATTACAGTTGTATAATGGATGATTTTTACTGGCTCACAGAAGCCAGTTAAAACCAAAGAGGGCTAGCTGGAATTCTGTTAAAATAATTTTTCTTTGTCAATAGATTAATTTTTCCCCAAGATATGAATTTCTCACCTAAATCCAAAATAGGATACCTTATTGCACATTTTAATATAATGATCTTTGCAAATATCTTAGTTGCAACTAAGATAAAATTAAATAAGAAACCTTTACTAAACAAGCAAAATTTCCAGTTCCAAAATGTTTTAATGCATGTTCACAAATTGCTTGATAATTCTAATGATTCAGCAAACAGCAGAAAAATAAGTTGCAAGAGATGGCATAGAATGAAGAAACCTGGAAAGTAATAATATCAAAAAGGCTAAAAATGATTTAAAAATTATTCAGCACAAGCACTGGAAGAAAAACAATACCACTTTCCACTAATCTTCATGAAACCCCTATAATTATACATTTGGAAAGCTGCATTCAGACTGAATCATATCAGAGAGAAACCACAGACAATCAATAGAATGAGCTAAGAATAAAGACTTCTATGAGGAAAAAATATTCTAAGAGTTAAGTTAATGCCATTTGGATTTAAAAGATGACTAAGGAAGAAAGTGAACTAAATATAGTGAACACAATGAAAACTCAGATTAAGATTTAATACAATATTTCATAAGAGGATGGGTAGAGAGAAAGAACTGGGTTCAAAACCAGGAAGACCTGATTTCAATCTGTCTTCTGACACATATTGGCTGTGTGACGCTGGGCAAGTCACTTTACTTTCTCAGGGCTCTAGAAACTCTCAAGGCTCTAAGTGGCAGAGAAGATGCTGAAATATAGTAGTAAAGGGAGTTTCCTCATTTAGGAATTCCTTATATTACTGAAATCACCATTCCAGTCCCTATTTCTTATCCTATGTTAATAGAATAAAATTTTAAAAGTGCAAAGTTGTTCAGTCTACAAAGAAGCAAATTCTAATGAAATCTAGTATCACAGAAGAGACAACACTGGCTAAAAACATTAACACTAAACTAATAGAAGTTCTATAAAATGTTTACATTCCTAGGCCCATATTAGTTCCTAAGATCACAGGGAAAAAGGACTGTTGATTTCTATAAACAACCTGAAGGAAACCAAAGAACTCAATATCATAGTGATAGTCTATGGATGCCAACATTTGCAATTACAGAAGTTAAGATAAATAAAGGCAGAAAACTTGGGCCTTAGGATAGACTTAAATTTTATTAGGAAAAAGGGGAAGAAAGGTTGTCTTCCACCCTTTCCAAGTATAACTGCCATACATAGCATCCTGAAAAGATGATTTGAAACAATGGCAGATCTCTTATTTCCAATGACCTGGAATAATAAACCACAATAAATAAAAATTTTTTAAAATCCTTGCTATTCTAAATTGACGAAATTTTAATTATCTTTGGAAGGATCATGTTAATTAACTAAGTGAGGTGAACACAGAAAACTAATAAATGTACACTATACTTGAGTTTTAAAATCTATCCTATTTTCTCTAGCTTCAATGCCATTCTTAACTGCTAAAAGTTTCCCTCCTTCCTGACCTCATACTGTCCAAGTTTTCTCACAGTACTTCCAATAGAGCTAAAATCAACACCTGTCTGTTTAAACTCTCACTTGACAAAAGTATGGTTTTTAAAAAATTTTTATTTTGTTAATGAACCTAATAAAGGGATTATAACTATTGGAAAGATGACATTGATAATTAAATAGCCTGCCATATGACAAACGCAAGAATTATGAACACTATTTTTTAAAAAATCAACATGGAACTAGACTATTAAAAACTATTTCAAGTTGCAGAAGATTAATCTAAGCGTTATCAGCTTTAAAATAAGGCAAAAAATATTTTTAAAAAATAAGGCACTGTTACATTTTGTGTTCATTTACCCACTTCCCTCTTCCTATTTATTAGAGAGTATCTCGTGTGTGTGTGTGTGTGTGTGTGTGTCTGAAATCCTGAAAAAGTAAACAGAATTGCTGGATAAAAGAAAAGATCCAGGAAAGGCAGAAGACAAGGAATGAAACAGATGGCACTGGTGAAAGCCTAGGTATTGTTCAAATCCATACTTCATTAATACCCCGCTCCCCACCCCAAGCCCCAATTCAGAAAAGCAAAAATCAATCAAGTGCACCTAAGGGCCTGGAAAAAAAAAGAAAAAAGCAAAGAGCCAGTAGGGACTTATGAAAGGAGCCGTTCTCAACTGGGCCCACAAAGGTCGGGGAGCACAGCGAGGAAACATTTCCTTCTTCCTTTCAAGAAAACCAAAACAACCCCTGGGGTCCGGTTCTTTGTTTTGTTGGGCTCGGCCCGGAAGGCTGTTTCCAGGGGAGGGCTAACGGTCCAGGAAGCCCAAGGGTGGGGATGGGGGGGTGGCCCCTGCCGGGCCCAGGTGTCAGGAGGCCCGCCTTTGCTTAGATGGAGGAATAGAATGGGGGGCCCCTGGCTGAGCCCCACCTCCCGCCGCGCCGGACGCAGAGGCCCCAGACCCGCAGCGCCGGGCTCGGGGCCACGAGCCCGGATCACCCTCTTCTCCTTCCTTCTGCCCTCCCCCGCCATGATTGGGACCAGCGGCACCAGCCCCGGGGAGGCCGTGATGGACCCCGGCACCTCCAGGGTGTCCTCTCCGCCTCCGGGAGGCCTCCTCCGCCGAGCCCGCGACCCTCGCGGGGACCCCTGGCCATTCCCTCGAGTCCCGGGCCCGCTAGGTAGGCCCTGCGCGGATCCCCGGCCTGCCGTGCTGCCAGCGACCCCGCGGCCTTACCGCCTCCACGGCGTGCTGCAGGATGGACGTGAACTTGGAGAACATCCTGTCCCGGGACTGCAGCAGCTTCTCCCGGGACGACCTGGAGAGCTCTTCGATCCGCCGCCGCCGCCCCTGCTGCGGCTGCCGGGGCCGCTCCAGAGTGAAGGCCGGTGCGGCGCGGGGCGCGGGGCGGGACGAACGGAGCGAGGGAGGGAGAGGGCGCGGGCGGCGGGGGCTCAGCGGGGCGGCCGGGGAGCGGCGGGGATGGGGGGCACTCGGGACGGCCGCCGGGGTACCCCCTGAGGCTACGGCTGGGCAGACACCGTGGCACTGCGCTGACACCGCTCTCCTTCCGCCTGCCGCCGCCGCCGCCGCTCCGCCCTCCCAGGCCGCCAGGGGGCGCGGCCGAGGCTTCTCTGCCCCGCCCCTCCGGCCCCGGGAAGGAAGGGAAGGCGGGGAGGGGGGAGGGGAGAGAGGAGGCCGGCGGCGAGCCCGGGATGCTCCAAGCCAAGGTGGGAAAGAAGAACCGATCCAACTTCATAGGAGGCGCACGCAGATCTGGCGAAGTTATTCTTTTTTTTTTTTAATTAAAAAAATAAAATAAAATCAGGCTGTTAAGAAGACTGGAATCTGTCTGGAACGGTGAAAGACCACACGACAGTTCTTGGCACGTGGTCTCCCCCATTAGAATGTAAGACCCCTGAGAGCAGAGACTGACTTCTTGTCTTCGTGTCCCCAGCACTTGCCACAGAGCCTGGCAAATAGTAGGCGCGTAATAAATGCTTGTGAACTAACTAGTAAGTGCTCGACATGTGTCAAGGATTGAGTTAAGCCCAGAGAATACTAAGAAAGGCTAAAATGCGATCCCTGTCTCGAAAGAGCTTGCATTCTAATGGAAGGAGGGGAGGTTTGGAGACAGCTGATGAATATGTACTTAGGAAACGTGAACTAAATATGTGGAAGGTCGAGTTTTCATTCATTTAGTTTTACTTTTTTTTTTAAACCGGGCTAGCGAGAAGCCGGATATCTGAGATTGTGTGAAGGCCCACATGTTCTGGCCAGTATGTCAGTCAACCAACATTTATTAAACACCAAGCTATGAGCTAAGTCTTCGGATACAAAGGAAGACCAATAAATAAAATAAAACAAAACAAACAGGATCCTTGCTCTCCAAAGAGCTTTCCTATTAATGGAGGAAACAGAGTGTCAATATGTATATAGGAGATGTATATGTAGAAGATAGAAGATCAAGTATAATAATATAAAGGGCAGAGGGTTTTGAAAGAGTTTTCGAATATTGGTCTTTTAAATCATTGCCTTGGGAAAAAACTGCTCACAGAAAAGAAGGAAGTTGCTAAGAAGTAGGTCAGTTTTGTTGACAAACATTACAGCAGTGATAATACAATATAACAGGGTCTTGAGGATAGGGAATGTAATCAGTTAAATAGAATGGAATGCAGAAAATGGTTACTTTGTTTCCCAATCAGGATGTGAAAAGTTTAAATGTAGTGTGAAGGTCTAGGGAAGAAGCCGAGGTAACATTTGTACGGGGGAGAGGCAGTAGAGTGACTATTAAGTAAAACATGCATATCTTCATGGGAAGTATCAAGTATGATATTTGGAGAATCCCTAAAATAGATATAAAGGTCAGGTCTAAGGGAATTTATCCGTTGAGCTGGTAAACAGAAATTTTCACTTCATCCAGTTCTGTAGAAGTTTTTATTCTTGTATTATTTATTGGTTTAAAAAATAAAACATTTTAAAACACAAAGTTCACAATGGGATGAGAATCATAGGATTCTAAAATCATAGGATTTAGCAGTGAAAATGACCTATAAATCATCTATTTCAACTTTTTCTTTTACAGATGAGAAAACTGAAGCCCATGGAGATTAAATGACTTGCCTAACATCTTGTGCTCTCCATACAAGGTCATGACTGAGAGCTGAGTGAAAATTTGAAACTCTTTGTAATTGAAAAAAAATGAAGGTGAAATGGAAGAAAAGGTCAGAAATGAAACAAGAGGGTCTAAAGTCAAGATATGGGAGAAGAGAAAAGGTAAATAGACCCTGTCTCCCCCCCCTTCCATTTTTATCCCCTTCATTCCTAATTGTGCTCATTTGCAGGCCCATTTGTTTTTAGCTTTTTGTATCCTAAGTTCATAGAGTGAAGTCAGGTTGCCTCTGATGTTATTGCTACTCTTGGCAGTACAGTTGTGTTGACACACAACCTTTGTTCTGGATAATTGTGTCAGACTCAACCAAGCCCCCCTCTTTTTTAAATTTTTTTTATTTTTAGGCAATTGGGGTTAAGTGACTTGCCCAGGGTCACACAGCTAGTGAGTGTCAAGTGTTTGGTCTGAGGCCGCATTTGAACTCAGGCCCTCCTGACTTTAGGGCCGGTGCTCTATGCACTGCACCACCTAGCTGCCCCCTTTTTTTTTTTAAAGTCATATTACTTGACACGGTTAGTTACAAGTACTAACTGTAATTAATTTCCTGCCCTAATTGTTATGCATTTATGTGGCATTTTACATTTACAATGTGCCTTACAACCATTAATTATATGGAGTGGTCTATTTAAAACAGACCTCATTTAGAGTTGTTTGCGTATACCAACCATACACAATAAAATATATTTCTTTGCTTTACAATGACTCATTCTCCATCTAATTTCTAGGTATGAAAATAGACATATTGGGCTAAAAATGTAATTTAGGGAGGTGGAAAAAGTATTCTCTTTCAATACTAATTTTATGTGTATCTTGCTGATATGTTATGATCTGAGGAACAGGGGGGAGGTTTCCTAAACCCTCAAGATATTTGGAGGTTGATGTTCAAAATTTCACCACTTGGATTTTGAGTTCTTTGGCTGGGTATATTATCCTCAACAAAACTGCAAAATGTAATGGGAGAAAACATTCATTAAGTCTTATCCATCATGCGTTTTCTAGGGGAACGTTAGGGAGCTCTCTCTCCTCAGGTGAGAGACCCTTTAAAGGGGTGGGGGAAACTAAGGGAACAAAGACAAACTTTGATTTCTTTTCCATTTTGTCTAAATCTGAACCTTTGTACTGGAAGGTCTCACAACCCACCACATCCCCCTCTACCTGTACTCTACTTTCTCTGGCTATACCCCATTCCTGGAATGTTCTCCCTTCTTTTCTCTACCGCCTGTCTTCCTTCAAGTCCCAGCTAAAAATGTACCTTCTACAGGAAGCCATTCCTAATCCCTCTTAATTTTAGTGCCTTCCCTCTGTTGGTTAGCATTTGTTCTGTATATAACTCATTTATACATAGTTATTAGCATGTTGCCTCCTCTATTAAATTGTGAGCTCTTCTAGGGCAGGGAGGGGCTTTTGCCTTTCCTTTCTTTATATCTCAGGTGCTTGGCACAATGCTTGGCATGCAGTAGGTGCTTAATAAATGCTTGCTGCCTGACCTTTAAATATGCCCCAAAGCCTGGAATTCTATCACTTGCTAGTGAGTCCTTGCTTTATATTAATGTATTGCCTTTCTACATGTACTTTATTTTTTATTTATTTATTTTTATTTTTAGGCAATTGGGGTTAAGTGACTTGCCCAGGGTTACACAGCTAGTCTACATGTACTTTAAAAAAAATGCTTATTGTGCATTAGATCTCTTTTCATTTGTGCCATTATTTAGTGACTTTTCCTTCTTTTACACTCCCTGCATCCATATTTATCGCCTTATAGACCATTGTGACAGTTATTTGGTTATTCCCCTTCCTTTTTCAAGGAGTTTAATACCAGGCTCACAAACTTACTTTCTGTCCTAACTCCTTTATATTCAGGAAATTCAAAATATGTATTAATGTACCCACAAACATATATTAATGTCCCCTCTAGCCTTCCTCATCATCTGTCTCCTTAATTCACATGACCCATACTTTCAATCCATCTCAGCTACACATGGGAATGGTCATGCCCTTGATACCATCATCACTCATGTGTTCTATTTCCATAAAAAAATTCTCTGATCATCATCTCTTATCCTTTCAAGTCTCTCACTCTTCCTATATCTATTCTTTGTCATCCAGCCAATCTATGTTGAAATTCTCTCCCAGACTATCACCTCTGCTCTGCCTTCATTTTCCTTTCATTTGGTTCTTGACCCTAAAGCTAACCAGCTCAGCAATACGTTACTGTCATCTCTAAACTTTCCTGCCCCATTTTCTATTGCTTGCCAAACTTGAACCATGGAATACCTCCCACCATCCACCTTTTCTTTTCCTACTCCTGAATGGCACTGAAGGTAGTCATACAATTAGTGAACCATGTAGATTGGGTCCACTGTAAATTTATATTGATGAATCCCAACTAGGCCTTCACTTATATAGCAATTTAATTTTATTTTTGTATATGGATTCTGTCACAGTGGCTGTTCAAAAACTTTTCCTTTTTCCTGGAGCCTTTCGCAACTCACCTTCTCCCTCCCTCTCAATGAAGTACCTCACCATATACTTTACTAAGAAAATAGAGACTTTTTGTCATGAACTGTCTATCTCTTCTGTACCCCCAAATTCTTTGACATCATTTTCCATTCTCTCTGCCTTTGCCTCTGTGTCTGATGAAGAAGTGGCCCCTGTCACCCCTTGTTGCCAAGGCCAATCACCTCTACTTGTGCCCTTGATCCCATTGCCTTCCAGTTCCCCAAAAAGCTTAAGCTCCCCCTCCCCACTTTCTAGTCTTCAGTCTCTCCCTAACTACTTCCCAGCCACCTACCAACACATCTATTTCTTTCCCATCCTGAAAACTTCACTTAATCCTCCCATCTTCTCAGACTATCATGTTCTATCTCTTTCCCTTTCACAGACAAAATTCTAGAAAAAAAGTTATCTTCTCATATCTCTTCTCAAGGGCCATGTTTGCTTTTTCTTTCTGCAACACTCACTTTCAATTGTTTGGTAGTGATTCTCTCCATTTACATTGTTGTTGTCATTGTGTATGTTGTTTTCCTGACTGTAATTCCCTTCAGTTCACATAAGGGTTTTTTTTTCTGTATACATCATATTCATTATTTCTAATACCACAGTTATATTCAGTTATACATATCACAATTTGTTTAGCCACTCCCCAATCCATGGGCATTTACTTTGTTTCTAGTTCTTTGCAACTGTAAAAAGTACCCCTATAAACAAAAATATTTAGAGCGCTTACAATGATGCAATGCATCTGATTAGTGTTAACCAGCCTTTGAC